TTATTAGTAAAGAGATGCTTTTAACATAGAGTGTTAAATTGGAGATAAAAATTTGGGTTAGGTAAATTGACCCGTGAATAAGGAATTGATGAATGAATTCCCACTCCACTCTTATGTGACAGTGTACTATTGCTAACTTTCAGTTTTGTCTTCTAAGAATCCTGGTTTCTGCTACAGGGTTTGGAAGCTGCCAAATATGAAAGTAATTTTGGCCTGGGAACTGCTGTATCCTTTAGCATGAATTATGTATATTGATCCAAAATAAGGAATTATTCCTTAATGTAATCCAGGGTCAAATGTTTGACCTGTACTGCATTTCTCCATATAACCAGCACTTCAAAGGCTGATAATTCCTTATCTTCCCAGATGAGTGTTTTGTCTTCTCCATTCCCTGAGTTGCACTGTCAGTGAGAGAAGCTTAATTTTGAAAGGAAAGCTGTGAATACTTTCCCACCTGGAACCAGGAGGCATTTTCCATCCAGTTTTGGTGGAAAAAAACCAAACCTGACATCAGTTTGGGCATGAGGGTGCTTCAGTCTGTTTTGTTGAACATAGTCTGCTTTAAATTCTTTTACAGGCATCAGTTTTTTGGGTGAACTTTTACTGGGTGTGAGGTTACGGTGCTGATGAGTATTAAAGATGTGTTTATGGCTTACATTAGCAATGTATATCTTTACATATAATCACTCAGTATGGTTTTGTGGCTTCCCCTGAGTGGAATTATCACAGATTTTATGGAATAGAAGAGCATCCTTGTGCTGTTCTGAAATCGTGGAAGACCTTGATCTACTTCCCGGCCTTCGTTAAGTTTTTCCATATGTGCATTAGTCAAACAGAAATACTCTACTGAGGTTGTGATGCTTCCAAAATACAGCACAGGGAATTTACATAGATGTGTGCTAGACATTGCTTTCCCCTAATCTACTTGAAAAGGATCTGTCCTGTCCCAAGAAAATGCTTCTGGAAATGAGAAGTGAACAGTGCTGAAGTGGGCTGCTCCACCAGAACTGTGGAAGATTTGGAAAGTCAAAGTTCAGTGACTTGTCTAGTGATTGCTGGCAGTAGAAATCCCTATGTTCACACACCATCCAAACTATTTTCAAGCTAGATACAAAATTTTCTCAAAATGAAAACTGAACGTTGTTATCCAGTGGTTGTGGGTGGTGGTGTTTTAAACTGGAAGATTTTACTCAAGTATTTTATCTGTTGGCTACAAATTCTGTTAACTGAAGAGTGTAATCTCTTTATCTTTTTCCTTGAGTCTTGAAGGGCAGAATTCATGCTATTCTTGGTCTTTTTATTAAGCCAGGGATTTATTTCTACTCAGGCAGTCTTCTGGTATCTTACCTAGGCTTGGTTAAAAGCTGGAATTCAGATATCCTTGTGTGCTCTAATATCCTTATTGAGGATAATAATATGTACAAGAGGACATGTACAGGTGAACACAGAGTATGAAATGAATAAAAGAAACTGCATCAGATGATCTTATAATCACTTGAGTTCACTAATATCACTGGCACTGTATTTTCTTATAAAAAATCAGATAGATGTTAGTTAAACTCCACAGGAAAGATCTGTTTTAGTGATCTAACAATTCTTAAATTTAAACCCAAAGTTAGTGCAGGGAGAGGACGAACTTTGGTAATTTTTCAAGCTTAGAAGATTCACAGCATCACTTAGCAGTGAAATTACATCTAAACTATAATCCCTAAATGTTGGGACAATTAGGCTGGTAATCATTTGTGATGCGTGAAGTTACTCTGGGTACCAACATAAGTAAATAAGCCTGACTTCATTTTTTCTCCTGTTCATTTTTCCTCTGTGCTAATACTGATATTCCCAGCCTGGAGCTGGGAGCTCTTGTTACCAAGGATTTGAATCTCTCAGTGATACAGTCAAAAGTTTAATCTGTGATTTAAGGTTGTTGAGTGTCACTGGAATAGAAGTTATTTACCGGGCTCTGATAACTTGGAAATGACCTCAAGTTGTGCCAGGGGAGGGTTTGATTGGATATCAGGAAGGGATTCTTGAGCAAAAGGATTGTCTGTGGAACAGCTGCCCAGAGCAGTGGTGGAGTCACCATTCCTGGAGGGATTTTAAAGACATGTGGATGTGGCACCTGGGGACATGCTTTAGTGGTGGCCTTGGCAGTGCTGGTTTAATGGTTGGACTTGGTGATCTTAGGGTTTTCCCAGTCCCACATGATTCTGTAACTTCCTGCTCTACACTGCTGTAGTTTTAGTCACTATTGATACTATTTCATTCCTGTCATGTCTTGAGAAAGATCTGCTGAATCAAAAAAGTCTTGTTTAAAAGTCTTAACTATATGAGGAGAGTGAAAAAAAAATACTTCCTAACTTGTCTTACTGGAAATGTCTGCAACAGCGTCATTTAGCATTTCAGAAGCAGTTTGGTTGGTCTGGCAGTGATGATAGGCATCTTTTAAAACAGAAGTAAACTTTTCATTGAAAAAAATTGAGAACCTGATTTTAATTGGGCTGTTTCTAGGCCAGGAAGTACTGTAAGTAGTGCCAGGTTTGTTGTCCAGTATAGTAAGCTGTGATCTGATGAATATATATTTCTATAAGATTTATAAATTCTTCAGTTTATTTATTTACTAAGCTATTTTATTTTTGATAGAAATGGGTTTGTAATATACTGGAAAACAGTGTGAGACTCCTGAGGAGATGAAGCAAAATTGAGCAGCAAGTTGGCCAATCTTGTGACATTATTATATTTCAAACTGTGCAGTCTTGTACATGTTCTACTCAAACTTTGTTTTGCTATGCAGGAGGTTAAGAAATCATGTGTTGTAAAAGTAACCCCAAAACCCCCGCTTTTTTCCTGAATGGATCTGCATAATAACTTCCCGTATTTACTGTGTTTAAGTCAAGATGTTTTCATGTCTTTATATCCTTCTGCCATTCTGAGCAGAGAACTTTTCCAGTGAGAAGGAGAGAAACTAGCAGAACCTAAGAAATGTTTTTTGACTTGCTTTAGGGGACAGCCATAGGTACATGCAGGTTTTCAAACATTGCAGCCAGGTGGTTCAAAAACAGCACGGCTTGCACTGAGTTATGGGAGTTTCAGGAGGAAAAAAAAAAAAATCTGTAGTTCTTTCCAGATCCATTGGGTATTTAGCTGGTAAGTCATTTTTTTCCTTGTTTTTCTTGGTTAAGGCTGTGAGTACATTCCAGTGTCTAGGCTAGGTAGGATTATCTCTGTGGATGCTTTCTTCTGGCTGCTGTGAGGGTTCTGTGTGTTTGGAATGGTTGGGTCCACCACGTCTTACAGTGCACTTAGTGGAAATTCTAGTACGTGTATTCCAGTTGCTGTATTCTTCTCAATCTCTTTTGGGATGGTTGTAGGAAAAACTGAAAGAATTATCACGTGGACAACCCTGGAGCAAGTATTTAGTCCATTTCCAGCCAGTCTGTGTTTTCCAAGCACTTCAAGTGCATTTTTGCAGTGTAATGGCGTGGTAGCTCTGTGGTTTTGAAGGAGAGTCTGAGTTCCAAGTCCTCTCTTAGTAAAGCCTGTGCCCTTTCCTGCACAGCTGCTCTCTGAAGAGCCATGTGAATGTGCCAAGCAAAGAGAGTGTTTGGGATTTGTTTATTCTTAAAGACTCTTTCCTAAAGTCATGGATTTCCCTAATAGCAGCTCCATGAAAATATTTAGGTTAGATGCAAATTATAGCAGCCTTAAACCTAATTCGCAGCATATTTTGCAAAGTCATGTTATTTCTCTCTTCCCCACTGGAGCAAAGGAAAACTCTCCCTTGGTGGTTGTCATGCCTGAACTCACAGAGCTCTTTGCACAGAGAAGTCCCAACATGTGGTGACATCTCTGTCATTCCAGCAGAGATCAGCCAACAGTTGGCACCAAGGATATGATGGTTTCTGGGTTGGTAAAAGGAAAAATTATTTCCTTCCAGCAGTTGTGAGACCAGTGTCTGCCTGGGCAATAAAAAGAAACTTGCACTGTACTCTGCCAAGAGCTTTCTGCATGGAACCATCCACTCAGTGCTGGGAATGCTTACAGTAAGGCTTAGCTGCTGATAGCTGTGCAGGCAGGCAGGTTAGGAAATGAGGCACAGCAGAGCTGCCTCTGGAGTTGCTTGTGGTGTTAATAAAATGGCTCCCTCCTGCCTTGCTTCTTCTCATAGCAGAGGTGCCACGTCATCTCATTTTTTTAGTAGTTTCTTTCCAGTGGGAAGGGGGGATTGGGAGTTCACTCCACTGGGAACCTTTTGTCCCAGTCCAGCTGCTCATCTTTTAGTCTCAGTCTGTGCTGGCCCTGGTATGAGCTGAACTAGAGAACTGATGTGGAGTTATTTATGCAAATCTTCATTATAGCTGCTGGTGTAGTGAGGGGGAGGATCCTTTGCGAGTGGGTGGGGTGGTCCCTTTGGCAGTGTTGTAGATTCCTGCTAGACTTGATCTTGTATCCACAGCTGATGAAGAGAAGTTATCTCAAATCGTGTTTAATGGGTTGCTTTTTTTGCAGGAAAAGCTTGCGTAAAACCATTGGTACTTGTGGTAGCTCGAGGGCTTACAAATACTTTTTTTTTTTTCTCTTAATGTCTTGTGAAAATTACATGGAAAGTCGTTGTGTTAATGGAATTTTCACTTCTGATGTTTCTCAGATTTTAATCTAGGTGTCATATCTGCAAAGCCTCCCTCCGGGTACTGCGTAGGAGTTTTGTGATGTCCAGAAAAAGGGCTTTACATGGAAAAAGGCATCAGCTGTTAGGACATGCATTTGTTTGTTTCTTATTGCCTCATGGCTGTTGCAGTGCTTCAATTCACACTAGTCCATAAATTTTCCTAAACTGTTACTTTAAATTGGCTTTGTACACATGGACTGCTGTCTTCAGTGTTTGTTGAATCTTAATAAATTAATAACCCATGTATTTTAAACATTTTTAACTCCATTGATACTGCTATCTTCATCTTTTCACTTTTCTTTTTAGCCTTTATTTTGTGTGAGCTGCCTGTCCCTTTTCTCTCTCTGTGGAATAATTTTAACTTGTCTGGCTGTACTGACTGAGATCTTCCTTGGTTGTGGCAAACTGATCTTTGACCTGGAGAAGCAAACAAATCTACTTCTAAAAATACGATATTTGGGATCTGTCCCAGGTACAAAATGCCTCTTTCTAGCTGGGCATTATCTGACCATGCAGCAGTGCCAATTCCTGTAAGTGTTGCTCAGTGTATGAAGAGTTTATTGTCTAGTGTTTAAACAAATGTAATGGAATCATAAATAAAATTTATTCCGTAGGGTTACTTGTCATCTTGTGTTCCAAGATTCGGATAAAGTTCCATAAAGGAGAAAAGCCATGCAGCATTATCTAGCTTTATCTGCCTTTGAATCCCTAAAGTATTTAATATATGTATCTTTAAGTTTAGCATTTTTTTTCTCTCCAGATACTAACAGGTATTAAGAATTTATTGGATACCATGTCTTGCTGGTGGCATGGTATGGGAGACTGCAGGTGATTCTTCTCCAAAGCATGTCCTGTGGTTTCTAATGGTGACTTAGATTTCAGACTGGCAGCATTTATTAGAAATTTGTGTCTCAGTTCTCAAATTCTTCCCTTTGCTTAGATTGGTTTGTTTTGTCCCAGTTGTAATTAAAGACAGGGCCAGGTTTTCTCTTAGAATTGAGCCTCTTTGAACTGCAGATGATGTTCTTAGCTGGATGTTGAATTATGTAGAGCTGTGTTTTTTATGTTTGATGGGGTTGGAGCATAGAACAGTGCTGTTCCATTGCGTTTTCCCAAATGGGGATAGGCGAATAAAGCAACCACAGACCTGGATTGGTGCTGGCATTGCTGTTAATAAATGCCGTGCTATGAAGAGAATCAGCTAAAGGGAGGAGGAACTTGAGTTTTATTCCTACACTGTGTGAAAATCTGGAGGTGTTCTCCAAGCCTATGGATAGACACAGCCACTTGGCCAGCTCTCTAAAGTATTCAGATTTAAGAGGCCACCCTGGTGTGACTCCTGGCCGTGTCCCTTGTCTCTTCATGGGACTGCCTGGATACCGTTGCTACTGCAGTGATTTTGGGCTGTCCAGTGTGGAAAGAGCCAGCTAATTTCTGTCTGGTAATGCTCAACCTCTGACTTAACCTCTTTCCCTTCGGAGCTTTCATTGGAGCGCTTTTTCCTCCAGTCCTTTGTAGTAATCCAGATGCTCGTGTTCTTCTCCTCCTACACAGCAGATGGAGATGGCAGAAGCCTTTTGATGACTGTTTCCTTCTTTTTACATAAGTTTTATGAGCTGACAAATTCGTTAGTTGGAAGTGGTGCAGCTCACAAGCCCTGTCCAGCAGGTGGTGCATTGTCACCTTGCCAATAATTATATATATTTTAGGGATTTTTAGGGTTTTTTTTTTAGTTTAATCTGGCACTTTACTGTATGGTTATAGGAGCTTTACTGCATGGTTATAGAAGAGAAAGCAGATGTGTCATGTAACTGTCACGGTGAATCTGTTTAATTTTAGCCAAAAAATATCTGTTTTGAATTTTTAAATACCGAAGTATTGTACTATTTCAAAGTCAAGAAAGCAACTCAGTTTTGCTAGTTGAAGAGTTGAACTGCTTTTTTGTGTGATGTTCTGGGATTGTAGCTCATGAAAAATACTTTTTAAAATTTGGCGTGACTCAAATGGTCATCTCTCTATGCTCCAGGAAAGCTTAAGTAGGTTAGCAGCCCTCTCTCTCCCTTCCAGTATTGCCTGTCTACTAAAGGAGAGTCTTTGGCTAGCTAAACCTCCAACTGCTCATCATTTTAACCTTAAAAGAAAACAGAACCTTAACAGTTAACCTTAACAGAAAAGTTCTTACACTACTGAGATGTATAAGCCCATTTTTCCCCACTTCATTACAGACTCAAGCCTATGTAGATTCCTCTGTTTTACGTTTATTTCACAATTTGATTTTTTTTTTATTTCTCAACTTGGAGCTCTGTTTCACAGCCACAAAGCTCAAAGGTGTATTTTGATGGGTCCTATAATAGCAGTGTAGAAAATCTTTAATAAAGAATGGGGAGAACTTGAGTGTACCTAATGATACAGGTCGTTGTGTGAGATTGTTACTGATCTAAATGTACAACACATTTATTGGAGATGTAAAATATGCAACAGTTATTTAAATTACTTTTGGATTCTCTTTTCTTAGGAATATCTTGGTGGATAGGCCAAATGATCAATCCTCAAGATGGTCTTCAGAAAGCAATTATCCTCCCCAGGTAAGCTCCTGAATCTGTGCTGCTCTATAGATGTGTTGTACAATTTAATGTATACCGGGGTTTTTATTTTAAATCTGGGCTGCTGCTATTGACATCGACATATTTATAGGCTTCCTTCTCTGAGTAAAATGCAGGTTGTTGGTACATGAGATATTTACATTTCTAGCAATTTTTGATCCTTCTAGAAGTGCTTCATTGCAAGGGAAGTTTCAGGTTTCCTCCTTGGCAATCGTGGTCATGCTGAAAATAATCAAACCTTATGGTGAGATTAAGCTGCTAATGAGGCGTGCAGGTCCCCCTTTGTCAGCACTACTGGAGGCTGTTGTAGATTCTTGGCCTTGAATCCCAGATCTAAGGAGCTGGTGTTTGTTTCTCCTTACAGCACGTTCAGAAATGTGGCCTCTGGTTAGAGACACGAGTATCACCTCTTCTGCTGGTTAAGCACCTTATTAAAATAAGATTTGTATTGATTTTAGCATCTGATTTGCTTTCTCACTGTTATTAAGGCTGTTAGATTATCCAAAATATGCTTTTCCACTTTTTTTTTCCTCCAATGAATGCTATCCTTCTCTCTGTGTTAGATCTGTACCTTATTACTCTGATACAGTTTGATCAACTTCTATGTCTCTCGTGCTGCTTGTTTTCAATTATTTTAAGCACTGATGCACAGTAGAGTGACTTGCACAGTGTCTCTCTCATGCAAAGTTCTACTTACCTACTTATTTAATCCAAGTATTCCTCATGAGTGAAATCTCATGGGATTTTTCTCCAGGTAAATCTTTCTGCTTTGTCTTGGAGTTGTGCTAAAAATCCAGAGTCTGCACTGGTGGCTCCCTAGAGCAGCAGATCATCTGCTGCAGCTGAAGAAATTTCACCTGGATTTTCTGGTCAATCCTTGTCATTTTGTCTGTAAAATTATGTTTTTGGGTGTTTTAGAGGAGAAGGTATCCTTTGTATTCCATTAACATGTTCCTTAAACCTGATTGTGAAAACTGATATTGATTCTCTTGATGCTTCTGTGCATCTACTGCTGTTTGAATTTGATTATTTTACTTATTTATATTTTGATAAGCAATGTAGACTTTTAATCCATAGCCTGAAGCAGTTTCGTCTATCTAGGAACTATGGATTGCAGAGTAATGAGTATTGAGCATGGATTGTATCCCAGCCTTCTACCATCCTTTACTTTCTTTCATGCAGGAAGCACGTGTTTTTCTTGGGGTGCTTTTGTTCCCAAAGAAGGGTTGGTTCAGGGTGTGTCTTTGGACTAGGTTTTTCATCTGAGATGCTCTCTTAGTTGTTGCTTAAGTTCACTCTTTGATTTTCTGAGCCATGCTTTGAAATAACATTCAGTCCTTCTAAAAATCTGTTTCTGGAATGGAAACATACCTCCTGTAAGTCGATGCTTTAGAATATTCCAAATTTACACTTAAGGCTGACAAGGAGTGATGCAGGTTATACTCAGACATGTAGATTAAGCAGGGATTAATTAGAGTGGCAGACTTCTGTACAAACCACAGGAGCTTGTTAAAGAGATGTCTTCCAAAAATTTCATGTGTATGAGTCGTGACCTGAATGGAGATACTGTTGCAGAGTGACTTGACTCCAACCCTGGAGAGTTGGGCACTGCTCTGCATGCTAAGCAAGGTATTTAATCCAAACTTTTTGGTAAAAGAGAGATGAATTAACACTGGCATTATCTACCTGTGTGTCACATATCAAAACATATATTAAGTATCCAAAATTAAGGCCTGGCTGGCAAAAAAAAAGTCCTCATATAGTAACTGAGATTGGCAAGACAGTATTTGAGTTTTATTCTATTACGTAAAGACAAAACTAACAGAAAATGTGGCCTGACTGGAAAAGACCATGTTGCTGGATCCTCTTGCTTGAATCTTTGTATCTAATAATGAGAATGTAAAGTACTGTGTGGTTGCTCGTATGTTCAGCAAGCCCAATGCTGAGCACTGAGTATTTGCAGTGCCTTTATACTCTATAAAGTACTATATACTGCAGCAAATTCTCATGTTTCTAATCTGAGTGTTTAATTATTCATGTAAAGCATTTTTTATGGTTTAATTTCTCTGTTGAAAAATTAGTTGGAAAGAGGAAGTGGGGAATTATGCAAAAGAGTCCTATGTGCAAAGAGTGCAGTTTTTGTTATTTCTGTGTGCATAGAAGCAGTTCCCATTTGTGTTGTCTCATACTTGACAGATGAAAGAACTCCAGATTTGGTTGCATTTTGGTCAAAATAGTTCTTGCACCTTGTCCATTGAAAGACTGCCAAATTAAATGCAGGAAAAACATTTATATAGGTGTTCTGCTTCCTTTTTTTTTTTTTTTTTTTTTTCCCAGTGGCTGAAGTTCTTACAGCAAAGTCTTAGCTTGGAAAACTTCAGTTGAAACAGTGGATGACTGAATTATAAATGTGGTGAGGAGAGAATTTGGGGAAAAAAAAATCAAGTTAAATAGTACATATTTCAAAAAATGTTGATTTATACACATGACTTTTAATCTCTGGAATAAACATAGTGGATCCTATAGAAAATGAAGCTGGAAGGCATTTTCTAGGTGTTGTGTTGGCAGCTCTTCAGTTCAAAACTGGTCACTCATGCGGTGACGCACTTGCTCAAGTGCGTGGGTGGCCATAATGGTCTGGACAGGAAGCAAACTAAAACTCAGGGAAATAAAGCTCTCCTTGTTCCCAGCTTTATTAGCTGAAAGCAGGGCTAAGGCACAGCACTAGGACTGATGTCCAGCGTGCTCAATGTGAGATACTTTAATAAGCTCTGCAGCCCTGATTGCTTGTGTTTGTCTCCTCAGTGCCTCACCTTAATGCTGGGGTTTAGTAATTCCCTGCTGAGGTGATGATGCTGTGCTGGCTTGGAGGTAAAAATATGAGTGAGTCTCTAAACATTGGTTTATTCCCTTCCCTCAGGAGTGAAACAAAACCTTTCCAGGCACCTTTTCTTTCAGAGTGGGAATCAGAGGAACTTAGATAAAAATACCAAAATTGTTCAGAAGCTTATATGAAAATGCAGTAAATGTGCTAAAGTCCATATGAAACCTTTTTAAAAAGAGAAAGAAAATGAAAGTGGAAGTGTAGACAGTTGAAATACTGCCACGTGACTATATTTAGTAAAGGGTTTTCCTGGCTTCTTGGGTATGGTAGAGTTAAATAATTCTCATGGCCGTGAAAGCCACCAGTTGGTTATGAATGAGTGCCAGTGAAAGGAAATATATCTGACAGCTGTTTTTCTGTTTATTAAACTAGATATCTTTCTTGAGTCTTGAAATAGATGACCCAGAAATTATATATTTAATAACAAACCTGCTATGTAGTAACCTATTCAGGCAGGAGAGGGCTGATGGTTCTATTTTTAATGCCGTTCTCAGCTTACATTGGAAGTGTGAAGCAATGAGGCTGGTGATGCTGAAGACCACGGCCCTGTCAGAAAGGCTCATCCTGATGATTCCAGTGATGGTCTGACGTGGAAGACTGAAGAGCATTTAATTCCCCTGAGTGGCTTGATTAATAACATGTAGAACAGAAGCATAGATTTTTATTTAGCCACCAACTTAATTGTAAAAGCAGTCAAGATGTTTGTGTTGTGGACAAGGGCAGCCCTTGTTATTTTGCTGTTTTGTGGGTTTTATTTTTACATGCGATTCACTGTTCCCTAATTAAAAAAAAAAATGCCTGAGCAGAATTGGTTAAAGAGAAAGAAATTGATAAACTGTACAGGCAGCTTGTGTAGTGCAGTTTGGAATCTGGTTTAGCATATTTGATCAGAGAATCAATTAAGTTGTAATAGACCTCGGAGATCAGAGTCCAACCTTTGACCAGTCACCACCTTCTCAGTGCCAGGGTCCGGTTAAATGCCACATCCAGTTGTTTCTTGGACACCTCCAGGGATGGTGACTTGGCCACCAGCTCCCTGGGCAGTGCATTCCGGTGTTGTGGAGGTGTGAATTTTGAACAGTTGAAGATGATACACATAACATTAGTGGTGTTGTCTGAACAATCGATGTCAGTTTTGTATCTGAAGACCAGTTTTCCTCTGACTCCCATGCTGCTGTGTAGATTGTATCAGGAATTAATTTAAAGTACATTAATAAAATTTACATTCTGTTGTGTGATGCAGCAGCCTTCATATGGTTGTCATCAAATGGTAGCACAGACCAGAGCTTCAAAAAATTTGGGAATTTGCTGCAGCTCCCAGTGTCACAAGACTGGACTTGCTCTTTTTTGGGAGTGCACTGTAAGCAGCTGTTTGGGTGCTGAAATGTCATATGTGAGTTACTCTGCTCTTTGTGCATATTTACTTACAAATGTGTTTAATCAGAATCCAGGAGTTTTCTTCTTCTAGTGTTTTGTAGCATCTTTTTTGTTAGTGTTGTGATTTGAGGCCTAACAACTGGGCTGAGTTTTTGCTCAGTTGTGCCATTTAGTATCTGTGTGCCATGTTCTAATGGACAAACACCTCAGTTGTAATTTGGATTTTTGGAATAATGCATGAATACATAGACATTAAATGTACTGATGTTGCTCACAGCAATAAAATGGAAAAGTGTCATATTTCTTGGTGTATTTGCCTGAAATATCATGGGCTTGTTCTCCAGGTTGAATAAATCACTTGATCCTACAGATACTTTTAGAGCTAGAGAATAGTCTGTCATAGCTAAAATCCTGGTAGAAGTCCAAAAATATCCATGCAGCCAGCTGTTAGCAGCTCTAGAGGCAGTGTGTTTTTTCAGCATCAGTGAGATTCATAGCTGGTACCCACACAGTGGCAGCGGTGTGTGTAGAAACCCAAAAAGTACATCTCTGTATTTTTACATATATCATAGAATTATAGAGTAGTTTGAGATGGAATGAGATGTTTAAGGACCTTTCTAAGCCCCCCTGCCATGGGCAGGGACACCTTCCACTTGGCCAGGTTGCTCCAAGTCCTGTCCAACCTGGTCTTGGACCCTTCCAGGGATGAGGGATCCACAACCTTTTTGGGTAACCTGTGCAAGGGTCTCACCACCCTCACAAGTAAAGAATTTATTCCTAACAGCTAATGTAAATTTGTCTTTTAGTTTGAAAGTCTTTCAGTTTGATGTGTATGTGTATGCATTATAAACCAGAAAAACACATATCTAGGCACAGGGTTTTATAGCAAATCTGTCCTTTGTTTCCATATCAATCAACAGATAATTCACAAAAAAAGGTTGAGTTTAGCTTTTGTGCTTCTATTTTCTGTAAGGTCTGCATGACTCAGCAGGTGGTGGGATGTGTGGAAGTGGGAAGGAGGGTGGCAGAGTTCCCTCTCTATCTGTAGGGTTAAGAAATCACTGCTGTCCATGTGGAGTAATTGCTGTGCCTTGCTCCCTTCCAGGCATAAAGGATTTAACTGCAGTCCTGGTTTTCTCTCCTTTAATTTAGGGTAAGAATTGAATAATGCAGGATGACATTTGTGCCAACTTTTTGCAAATCTTGTGTGGTACTTGAGAAAGTATGTGTTCATGGCCCAGGCATTAGGTTTGGGATTCCAGCAGGATTAGGAATTGCGATTGCTGGTAGGGCTGGCTTCACTTTTCCAGCTTTGGGAGAAATCTGCAGGGAAGATATGATGGTGTAGGAGGAGTTCTTAGACATTGTGTACTGTCTGTTCTGTATGGGAATTTTGGCAGCGGGCTGTGCCATGTATCAAGTGCTGCCTTGCTCATTAAAGGACCGTTCTTTCGCTCATCCTTTCCTTTCTTCTGCTTTAGAAATTAAAATTCTCTATAGAATTTTAGTGGGGTTTTTTCCCCTAAAGTTTGGGAAGTATTTGTGAGACAACGGCATGTCTTGCTGCTGCGTAAACGGTGGGTTCTGACATTTGGATGGACGGAGTTCTTCACAAAAGTAGTTTTTCATTGAAAGTATTTGGAAAAGCACCAAAGTATTCTTCTTTTCTATCCTCACAGTGCTGCTACTGATTTATTTTCTTAATTTTGAAAAAATTTGAGATGCTGGAAACATCTCTGACAGTAAATCTGCTGTTAATACCTATCCAGTCTTCATCCTCATCTGTAACTGCTCTGTATAAATGTATTTCTCTTAATCTATGCTTTTTGTAAATGTAGTAGGAACGAGCCCTTGAGGTCAAACCTTTTTTCATCATACCTTTATCCTGGTGCTCTCCTGAACAATATGAGTACTGCTCCTAGACTGAGAATTATTTGCTTTATAGGGCTGAGACAAAAAAGAGACAAAAAGACTGAGAACTAAATGGATGAGCAAGGTTTTTTTTGCTGCTCTCCCAAAAGTTACCTTTCTGGGGTAAGATTGCCCTACTGAGGGAGCTGTCTAGGATGGTGGATAAGATGTTTAGCATAGGACATACTATTCAGTCTCTTCTCAGGATCTACAGAAAGCAGCCACACACATGCAAATAACACTGCTTGATGTCGATGAAAGACCAGAACTCAGGCATCGTGTCTGGCTCGGCAGTGCTGCTGCTCGGAGGACAGGGCCACCAGCAGAGCCTGTGGTGGGAGGTGGCCTACAACGTGCTGATCTGCTGTGCTGGAGTCCTGATGACAGGGTTTTGTAACAAAATCCAGCACCATGAGTAATTGTCATTCCGTGCTTTGCCTCTGTGGTGCACTGCTTAGTTCTGAGAAATCAGGGAAGAGAGTGAAACATGTTTTTACATATAAAACTCGATGCATTCTGCAAAGCAAGGTGTCTCCAAGCTCCCCCCAAGAGCTGTTTGGTAGGGGAAGGTACTCAGTGGTCCCTAATGAATGGTGCAAGTGCTTCCCTGCACCTGCTTTTCCATGGGAGCAGACCTCTTCCTCCAGCAGTGCTGGTAGAGCTGGTAGCTGTGGCCTGAGTATGAATAATCTGACTACTCATACACAGATTGTGTCCACCTAGTGTGAGAGGGGAGCAAATACTCACAAGGGAGAACATTTTCATAATTTTCTGTGTAAAGCTCCTTTTCTGTAATTAAGTGGCTCAGTTTTATTTGGGATGGTTAATAAGCAGTTGGTTCCTGTGTTCGCCACACACCAAACTTTGTGTTCAGTGGTTAAACAGTGTCAGCCCAGAGAGAAAAAGTAATTTGATGTTCTCTTAGCATGTGGAACATACTGTATTTATCTAATTGTGTATTCAGTTTAGGTTTCATTTCAGGCTCTAGTGGGCGTTTGAATCTTCACTCTCTGTAGTTTGATTCTATTTGCCAGATTTCAGGAAGTCTTGCGTCCAACTTAAAAGGAATGTATGTAAGCTCTGAATAGAATTGCTAGGCATAAGCAGTTCAACCAAATCTTTTTCCTAGATAAGCTGGTTTTAAAATAATATTTTAAAAAAAACAATCCTTCATTCCAGGACCAAATGAAAAAATACCATAACGGGGAGGTTTCATTTTCACTTTAATTCTCTGGCTTTGTAAACTGAATATTTGTAGGCTGTAATGTTTCTCCCTTAGAGTGTTTTGCAGCCTTGGCTTTAATATTCAAACTCACTGTTTTCTCTTCCACAGTATTTGATTCTGAAGCTTGAAAGACCTGCCATAGTCCAGAGCATCACATTTGGCAAATATGAGAAAACACATGTCTGCAATTTAAAGAAGTTTAAAGTCTTTGGTGGGATGAATGAGGAGAATATGACAGATCTCTTATCCAGGTAAGATGTGATTCTGTTAGCTCTGGGAATTGTAAAGGCTGGACCAAAATGCTCTTTCCCCTTCTTCCCAGAAGACACATGGCCAGTGGTGGGGCAGAGCTATGGTTGTGACCCTGCCATTGGTCCTATTTGTGGTCAGGTCACTGAGCAGCAATCCCAACGCTCTCTCCAGGAGCCTCCCTAATCCTGCTCTGACCACAGAGGGTTTGTGGAGAGCGAGCTCTTGGGGATTTGGAAGAGCTGAGCACTGGGTGCAGCGTTGCTGGATTGCAATTCCTTCCTTCCATGAGTTTGAGGCGCTGGAGAAATGATTTCCCAGGCGTAGGGGGCTTCGAAGCTATTAAAAACACAAGTAACCTCCCCATATCAAAACCCTCATTGCAGCCTTAAAGATCTGAGCTAGTCAGCTTCTCTGCCTTTTACAGATGGGTAAATAAATCAAATGGGCAAATGGAAACCTACATTTGTTTAGTTGGATTTGGTAGAGTTGTACTGATACGGACTAAAAAAAGGGCCTTGTGGCTGTTTAGGTTATCCAGAACTTCTGAGTAGTTGGTAATGTAAATTTGCAAGGGCCTTTTAAGGAGTGTATTGTTTCAGAAAGGGAAAGGAGAGTTAAAATTCAGAAGTACATGAAGAAAGAATAGCAAGAACCCGGTGTATTTTGGGAGGCCTACAGAAGAGAAATCCATCTCCAGGGAATGTGTGGGGTACATCATCTGTAGTCAAGCAGGTAGCCATGGACAAACAGGGAATTCTATGTTGCAGGTATCATTCAAGACCATATAGAATCTATCCACAACCCTTCCCACACTTTTGCCCTTGTTAGATAGATCAGTCTTGAAATTTGCCTTTATTGCTGTTACAATTGTGGGGGAAGAGGTCTTTTAGTATCACAGTAATTACTGACATTTGATATCATTTCACTTCTGCTGAAGTTTAACAAAAATCCTCATTTTGGGACCTGTACTTGTATTTTCAGTAAAAATGGACTTAAGATTTTTTATAAATTATACTAAATATTTGATATTTTTAGAAAGCAATGCCCATAAATGAATCACAAAGCACTTTGTCAGGGTGATAACTTTGAGATCTGATCCATCTCCCTCTTGAGAATGGAAGAGTGCGGTTCAGCACATCAGGAGCTGAAGTCTCAGGGTTCCAGGTGCAGAGGAGCAGCACTGATCCAAAGCCAATTCCCTCCCCAGATCCCAGTGCTGCCTCCCAGGCAGGCACAGGTAGGTGGAGAGCAGCCCAGGCCTCGGTCCAGCACGTGTACTGATGATTCAGAGTGGTGTGAAACAAGCTGCGCGTTTCAGGCGTGACCTAGATTGCATTTATTAGCTAGTCCTAAAATACAAGGTAAGATTTAGTAACCTTATTTATTTTTTCCCACAGTGGCTTAAAGAATGATTATAACAAAGAAACATTCACCTTGAAGCATAAAATTGATGAACAGATGTTCCCCTGTCGATTCATTAAGATAGGTAAATGCATTTTTTCAGCATTCTGAGTAGAAAATAATCTCTTCTGATACTTGTGCCTGTCTTGGCACTTGTGACTTCATTGTACTCAGGCAAAGTATCCACAATAGCTGTTCCATTTCATCATCTTTTAGGCTGGTTAGATTGGAACACAGTGAAGTCCTGTTAATAAGAAATAATAGGTTCATAATTTAGATCCTGGGGAGTGAAAGCAAAATAGAGCAATTTTCAGAAATACAGCTGTTGAGTCAACTAATTGCGGGAGAAGCTGCTTACTGTCCTCCTATGAATTGCTATATAGAGCTTTAAATAAATAACTAAGCTAAATACCAGTTAAAGTTTCAGCATTGACACTCCTTGAGTCTGAAAAAGCTTGAAAAGTTCTGTTCTCAAACATGTTCTCAACACATAAAGCAACAGCAGAAGCTTCCCTTGTTCTCTCCCTGCTGCTTTTATCACAATGTCTCACTCACCTCTGGCTAAGGATGACCCCCAGGAGCAGGGAAGGGTTGTACCCCCTCATGTCTTGTTTGCTTGGGGCAGGGGTTGGGGGGTGCTTCCAAAGGCCAGATACTGGGGCATGTGATGGCAGCAGGTGAGGATATCTCTTCCTTGCTTTCTGCAGGCCAGAGAGAACAAGAGCCTTACAGTTGTTGGATTTAATCCAAGGGTTTGGAGCCTTTCAGCTTGCTCAGTAAATTTATCTTTCCCTTCCTACCTACTGAGATAGTACAAGAATGACTGGATTTAAGCTAGCTGTTTAAGGGTAAAAATAGAGCAGGGAGGTAGTTGCTGAAAAAGGAGATAAGATCCCGTTGGCTAATTTAGATGAATTTAGAATTGTTTTATGTGTTGTAATTCTTTTGCCAAGACTCTGATGATAGTGGCTATTTAGGGGCTCCCCTCGGAGCCCTTTGCTTCAGTGTGTTCTTTCTGAATCTCCTCATGTTTGTCAGGAACTGAAAGCTTCAGGCTGGGAATCCAGTAATCGTTTGTGGGGTTTCCTGTTCTTAGAGAGGCAGAGGATTTGACTGTTCACTGGGCTGGTTTCTGGCTGCTGCTTTTGGAAGCAACTGTAGCACTTGGCTTTAGGAAACCTCAAGAGTCGCAGAGGAATCAAGTTAAAGGTTGACTACATCAAGGAAGTTAAATGAATTTTTAAAAACTTTATTTTTTATTATTTATTTTGAAGCTTCCAGCATTAAGTTTTTGGAAAATATTATTTTCAATGGCTGAAAACCAGCAAGTAGTTCCTGGAGGGCTAAAGTGGCCAGTGGAAAGATTTCAGGCCGCTTCTTTGGATGTGTAAATTGTGTTCTAGGAAAGTGTGTTCTGATGAAAAGAAGTGTAGCTGTGAGCTGATACTTGTTATGAAAGTGAAATGCTGATTAGTTTCTATTACCAGGATGTTTTCCTCTGTAATTACATGAGTACTTTGTTTTCTTGGGATGGGATCTTTATGTAGCACTTTTCACAGGGGCATGTAGTGATAGGACAAGAGGAAATGGTCTTATCTGAAGGAGAGTAGATTTAGATTAGATACTAGGAGGAAATTCTTGAGGGTGGTGAGGCTCTGGCACAGGTTGCCCAGAGAAGCTGTGACTGCCCCTGGATCCCTGGAAGTCTCCAAGACAAGGCTGGACGGGGCTTGGAGCACCCTGGGAATAGTGGAAGGTGTCCCTGCCCACAGCAGGGGGATGAAGGGATGGTCCCTTCCAACACAAACCATTCCATAAATAAACATTATTATCTACATTAATATTAGCTTTGCATTGAGCTGTCACTTCCTCACTGGTTATGATTTGAGATGAGTTTTCCTTTATAGCCTTTAACTTCCTGAAACTGCCTTCCATGAAGAAATTCCTGTGCTAAGACAGAACTGGAAATGATCTTTTCACCCAAACCTATGAAAGCCTCTGGTTGATGGCTGGTGTCATTTTGTTGATGAAGTTGTGAGAGCATTTTTTGCTGTGAAACAACTGCAAAACACTGTTACGAAATTCTGTTATTTTTCAGATTCACAGCTTGAAAATGTTTTGAGTTTGTTAAAATTTCCAAGCTGCTAGCCAAAGTAACTCAAAATTTCAAGCACCGTGCTGTGTTCCTTGTAACAGTGCCAGGAAACTACGCCAAAATCTGCCCTTTTGGACTCTCAGGGACTGACAGGGTGAAATCCCGCTATCAGTGAGGTTTGGGTTTGGGGGTTCACAGCACTTGGATCAGGAATTGGCTTTATGATTCCACAGATCAGCACAGGGACCTACAACAGCACTGTCAGTAACGCAATGGTGGGGTTTATATGGGGGCATGGGGCAGAAGGAACCATGGGGACATTTGGGAGAGGGGAAGGTTCCTGCTCCAGCCTCCATTTCTCATGTATCAGAGGAATTTTCAGGCTCATAAAATACAGGAAGAATAACCTCTCTCCCTCTGTCAAGAAAAGCCTTGCACTTCTATTACTTTAATTACTTCACCTTCAGTTCCTGAGCACTGAAATGCCCAGTTGTGCAGGCTTTTGACCTACTTGACAGGTAATTTTTACATTTCATGTAGCACCTCATTAAAGAACTGGAGAGAGGGAAGAAGATATTTATCTGGACAAAATATCGAAGAATAATCTTTTTCATGTCTGTGGGCTTTGTTTCTGGCTCTGTTCTCATTATTCCTCCAAGCAGAGATTTTTCTGTGCTGTGTCCTTGAAAGCAGAAGGTGTAAAGTCTGATTGCCATGAAAGAACTTGAAAAATGCCAGGTGTAATTCTCATTTCAGTTTGTTACTAGCATGAGATTTGGTAACTAGGCTTCTAGAGTTTTAGGCTTTGATAGAACAAAAATGAGGGATACTTTTTAAATGGATATTTTTTTATTTTTTCCAAGCATACCTGTTTATATGTCTGCCTAGACAGATGAGGGACACAGAAATTAGCTTGAGAGAGGTATTTAAAATTACTGTTTAATGCCTTTTCTATTCTCTTCTCTACTGTAGAGTTGCAGTCCTTGTCTAGGTGTAGCTATTATTGAGAAGTATCCCCTAAAATCATCTTTGTATGGATTAAGAAGTGTTAAGTGACTCAAATACCTTCTGTTTCTCAGAAGAATATTGATGTTTTTAAAAATCATTTTTCCTCTGCTGAGCTTTTCTCACTGTGGAGTGACAATTCAACTGTTCTGAACAGTTGCAAATTTAGGATGGATTGCTCTGGTACCTGCAGGAAAAAAAGCATGGTGAGGTGGCTTTATGATGAAAAGTAGAGGAATTATATGGCTTTAGGCTTTCAACACCTTTGATAGTGGTGCATTTCCATCTCAAAGGTGTGCAGAAGAAAGTGCTTCCATGCTGCACTTAGTGCCTCCTCTTTCCAGGTATAAGTCAGATTGTGGGTGCTCTAAAGGAGATTTTTCTGAAGATCTGAGCACTCCTTTGGAGGCCTCAAAAAAGAGAGGGCAGAAGAAAGGGTAGCAAAGGGTGAGAGTTGTCTCCTGGGAGCCAGAGAAGAAGTTCAAAAATGAGGGGATGATCCAGCAGAACACTTCAACTTGCCTAACTGGAATAGAAATCACATTCCAATCTCAACCTCCAGCTTTGTTTCTTTTCCTGCTCCTATGGAGTGGTTGACAAAGTTCAGGTTCACTTTTCTCTGCCTGTGCAGTGCTGGGGAAGTGTTTGCTTTCCCTTCCCTGTACAGCTTAATGTGTTTTCTTCAGAAAAGATGGTTTCACCATAAAAATCTTGCTGTTAAAAATCACAGTTTCTGGTGCTATGTTCCTTTATTTTGGTAAAAAGGACTGTTGGAAGCTCTGAGTTAACTGTGGGGAAGACAAATGTCAGTGTGGATAGCTTTGCTTTTTCTTGTGGTGAGAGCTGCCCTGGATTCTTCTGTACATCTCAATAACTTCTTAGGTGTTGTAGTTGGTTTCAAAGTTAAGAGGGTGAATTTTTAATTATTTCTGAGAGCAGTTCCTGTAAGTTCTGAGGAGAACTTTGCTGAAAAGAAACAGAGGTGGCTAGAGAAGGTGGTAATACTTTAGTTTGGAAACTGGCATCAGGTTTACCATCAGGAAATGTATGGTCTTGGCCTATTTGAGGTGGTCTGTGGTTTAGTTGAGTGTTTCAGTTCAGTGAGCTGATGGATAGACTTTGATGTTTATAGATGACCAAATACCAAATTTAACCTCAGTTTGGTCTGGTCTGTGGGTTCAGGTCTGAGGACAGACCAAGGATGTTATCCTTAGATGTGGTGGTTTTTTCAGACTGCTGCAGTAACGAGTAGGATATCTGAATTTAGCAGCAGTCATGTTTTATGGTGTTAAGTTACCGTATTGGCAGCGCTCAGCTTGTGCAGAGGATGAAAGTCAGCAAGAGGGAAGTTTCCTGGGCAGAGTGTGGCATGTGGGTGGGAGACAGGTGACTCTTGGTTTTTCTGACCACTTCACTTCTTTCTTGTCTCCACAAACATGCACCTACAAGGAACTGCTCTGAAAGCATCACACTGTGTGCTGAATGATCAAGTTTTAAAAAACTGTTTGAAAAGATGGTTTGAGTGGTGTAACACAGAAAGTACCTTCTTAGGGATATTAAAATCTGTTGAGAGTTGCATATACAAAGTCTCTTTGGATCTTGACTGTTCCCAGAAGTTATTGTGAGTCTTTAGCAATAGGTTTGTAAATATACCCTCTAAAACTTAGAAAATCATGTGTTTGAACATGTGCCTTGTGCCCAAACACATTACAGACAATCATAGATGTAGTTTGTTTGAAGTATAAATACTTAAGTTCCTGTAAGAGCTCAAGAACAACTTTATGATGAGTTGGGGTTTTTATTTCCTCAAGGAGTATGTCAGAAAAACATGAGTTCAACAGGTTAATCTCAGTGGTATTTCATGGTGGTTTGAAAGACAACAAGCAATTTCTCTGTGGCAAAAATAGTGGAAGGGAGGAGGTAGTGGACTCCTTGCTGTTGCTGGTAACTGCTCATTCAACTTTAATACTGTCTTTTCCTGTTTATCAGTTACAGTCAAATAAAAAGGAAACAAAAGTATTTGAAATGAAACCACTTGATTTCACTGCAGTTTTAAGGAGTCAGAGTTCACACACAAGTTTTCTGGGAGCTGGAGTTGCTTCAAAAAGCAGAACCAGGTCTTAACCTGCAGATTAACCACAAAATCAGTTCAAGGCCACAGATGTTAACCCAGAGTGGTAGAGAAGCCGTAGGTAAGAGGCTGTAATGTGTTTCATAGGTCTTTTAGTATTTCAAGTCCATTTGTTTTAATATTCAGATAAAATAGTATCAGCAAAGAAACTGCACAGATTAAAGCTTTAAAAAAATAGAGTTTTTAAATTGGAAATTGACAGTTATCCCTCCCTCCCTCCTCCACAACTTGCAGATGTTACTAATTTTGTAAAATGTAAAATACCCAAGCTTCTTGTCTTCACCATTAGGGAAAATAATTGTTGCTGACAAATGGGGAAATAAATGTACTATGAGGAGCAAATACTGTCGCTAGTATGCTCGTGATTCCCATGCTTGTCAAAGCTTGTTGCCTCTTGGAGCTGTTTTTAATGATAGTGTTTTTGCTCTTCTGCTTAAAGCAAGCTTCTGCTTTGTAATGATCTGCTGTGTTAATGTTGCTCAGCACAGGTTGCTTTAAATGACAAACTTGAACATGATGCATTTAGTAATTTTCCTAAGCTAAGTTAAATGAGCTAGAACTTAAGTCAGAAACTGAATTTTGTGTAAACTTTAAAAACATTCTGTTGCAAAAGTGATTGTTTGATGTTTATGCATACTTTTTCTCCTTTTCCTTTCTTCTCCAGTTCCACTTTTATCCTGGGGACCTAGCTTCAATTTTAGTATCTGGTATGTTGAACTAAATGGCATTGATGATCCAGATGTGGTCCAGCCGTGCCTCAACTGGTACAGCAAGGTAGGCCTGCATTTTAGATGCCTGTTTGTTTGAAGATTCCCAGTCTCAGAATCCTGTGAAACTTCTCTTACTGGAGTGATGTGACCTTTTAATTCCTTGAACAGCAGCTATTAAAACAGCAAACAGGCATAGTTGAAACCACATGGCTGACTTTGACCCTAAGGGAAACTTTCTGAATTTTATCTGCTTGTTCTCTTTCAAAAACCAACAAAACAGCCCCAAGAAACCCCAAAACCACCAACATCACCCAAAAAACCTGCCAGGTAGACATCACAAGAAGAACATAAAAGAAGGGAGCACTGAGCCGAAAAGGACAATATTAGGAGAGTAGTATTTGTATTGGAAAGGAAATGAATCTTAACAAAACCAGATTCCATTTCTCCTTCTTCTTGCCTTCTGATTCTTTTCACTCAAGTCCCTGGACTCCAGAGCCTTTTGGGTTACAGATGTAGCTTTTATTACAGGGTATAAAAATGACCTTTTTTTAAAGAGAATCCATGTTGGTGTCTTACACTTTAGATGTTTCCCTCTTACTGTCTTTTTGCTGAATACCTCAGAACACAGTGGGGCTGGTGCCACTGGACTGTGGGATGAGATGATTTATGCCATTTGTCATTTGATAGAAAGTTCAAAGGGTTCTAAACTTTATTTTTATAACCTGTGTTTAATTAAGTATAAGATATGCCTGTCCTGTGGGAGGGAAGTGCACACTACCAAGCAGAACTCATTGATACATTTTGTGCATTGGATCTTCTGGAAGGATTAATGAAACTCATATTGTGCTGCAGAGAAGACATTCTTCCCAGCTGAGTAAGACTGAGTAGTGGAGCAGTGTATCTCTGCTTCCAGAAGGAAGAAGTTAGAAGGGGATAGGTATTGTGTGTGATGAGTACTGAGACTCCCTTACCAGATCATGATGCTGTCATATGGTGAAGAAGCCGTGTGTGACTGGTGCCTGGCTCGTGCTCATTTACACCAACATCATGAGCTGCTTTGTGGAGGATTTAAATAACCAGCACAGTGGAAGTTGTCTGGAGCTGCTTTATGGTCCAAGTGGTGTTGTGGTCATGAGTCAGCTGATGATGGATGTCCAGTTCTGAAAAGTCCAGTTGACAGAAGCTGCTAATGGTTTTCCTTTTGCTGGCTCTGCACATGGTGGTGTGTCTGGCAGTTTGGACCAGTTGCTACGAGCAGGAAGCTCTGATTTTTTTATTTTTTTTTGGTCAGGAGTCATGCAGTGATGATGTTTGTATCTCTTTTGTTCCATCTTAGCCTGTGGAATCGGCACTTTTCCTGGTCAGCATTGTGTGTAGGGACGGCTTCTTCAAGGGTGCCAGCATTGTTCTCCTAAAGCTTGGAGCCCCAAAGCAGCAGTGCAGAGACTGAGTCATGATGGTGTGGGCTCTGCTAGGATCCACTGCCAAGTTTTTGGTGATGAGTGCATGTGTCACTGATGTCACTGTCTCACAGGGGAGAGGCCACTGTTGCTGGATCCACAGAGAGGGATGTGCTGTCCCATATTTAGGGAAAGGCAGAAAGGTTGACCTGCTTTTTCCAGTTCTTTGAGATGGTGGGAATATTTTCATGTGTGTTTTTGGAAATCTCAGAGTCTTTGAAGTATAATAATTCTTCACTGCCTGTGACATCAGATGAGAGGAAGGTTCTACACCACATTGCCCTTCCTTTTTGTTTTGTGCCAACAAAACCATCCTCTCCTGTGGGGTGTGGAGCTGGGGATAATGGATAAGGACAGAAACATTCCTCAGCACTCTCTCCTTGCTGTCCAGCTCAGCCTACTGCCTCCAAAAAGCCTTGCCCCTTTTTCATGAGGCGTGGACATAATTCAGCACCTGAGAAGGCGTACTTTATCACTGGGTACCACTTCTGATAATGAGCATATAAGTATTTTTAATTCTACGAGTTTATTTGACAGTGTTGATGTCTTAGTCTCATGTTCTTGTTACGTTTTTAACCATAGGAATTATTTACAGCTTCAGATCAAAGCTATTATTTGGGTTGTCATCTCTTTAAACCTGTATGACAGCATTTTAAAAGGAGCCTTTTATATAGTTTTTATCCACTTTTTTTGCTTAAAGCAAGTTTTTGCATTTAACTTCTGAAGTACCACTGTGGAGTCGCTTGAATATAAACTTCTTTGTTGCATCAAGTGGCCAAACTCCATCTGAGTTGTTCCCTGCTTTCTAAGCCAAATCTTATCAGTCATAAGAGGCTCAGTGGAAGGGAGGAGGTACCCTCTGTCCCAGGTCTGCATTTTGTCTAATTACTAAACTGAGGGATCTAAAAACCTGGAAGCTGGTAGTTACTGATGTGCAGTTCTCCTTTTGCTTGCTATCCCTTTGTACAAAAAAGTCTAATTTGATTTTGGCCTTGACTCGTGCAAGTGAAGATTTGTTTAAAAAGAGTGTCTTAGGCATCTCTTGGAAAGAAAAAAAATGAGTTGTTTTTTGCCAGTTGTGCTGTAAAACTATTTTAGCTTTAATATTCCTTTGCTACAGCCTTGCATTCTTATCGGTACATGTCCTTGGCCTTTATGTGGGCTGGGAACTGGTTTTCTAAAAATGCATAGTTCTGGCTATTTGCAGCTGTGAAATACTGATGGATTAAGAACTAAAAATACAGCGCATGGCCGTGTTTCTTTTTAGCTGCTTCAGTTTATGAGATTCTTGCTGTCGAGCCATTATTTTGAGAGCACTAATTTTTGTTGAATGTCTGTGTTAGTTCCAGGTTTTTAGAAAGATTCTATTCATTTAAATACTATAAACTTCACTTTTTGCAGTAATGTCCATTTAGGTCTAAAATCTTTTGTCTGTAATTTAATCAGTCTTATAGATGCTTAAAGTTACATTTGTTTCTTACCACAGTAGTTGTGTATTAAAGATGGAAATTGAGATTTCTTTTTTCTTTAATGCCTTAGAATTTAGGCTTGAAAAGTCTATTTAAAAAAAGTGGTTCTGCTACTTACCAACTTAAAAATCTGTGTTTCTTATGCATCTTGTTAGCAGCTTTGAAAATTGTAGCTCTTACTCAGAGTTTACTACTCCCTCGTGTGTCTGTGCCAGGATGTTTGACCCAGTGTGGGTTTTCTCTCACCTTTCTCACCCCTTCCCACAGCTAAGTGGGAGATGGGCAGCTGTGGCTCCATCCGTGGTGCAAAAGCAGAGGTTCTGCTTCAAGATGCAGGAGAATATTTAGAAGTTAAAACTTTGACGTGCACGTAAATCCTTGGTGTTGCTGATCCCAAACCCTCACAAACCTGCAGGATTTGGGGTCAGCCTTCTGCCTTTCTGTAGCAGGAGTGCTGGTCATTGCAAGTATTTCCATTCTCACAGCTTTTTTTTTTTCCTTCTGCTTCTAGAAAAGCTGTGACCTACTTACTCTTCTAAATTATTTTGTTATGTAAGAGTCATACAATCAAATTATGTAACGCTGATAGCGAAGGCTTTTTCCTGCTCTGTGCTTCGTGTAGGCCTTGAACAGCAGGGCCAAGCAGATGGGGGGGAAATAATGGTCACCCCAGAGATCTGGGACACCGTGCACTCTCTTCTTGTATGCTTATTAAATTGGATGGTATCAAATTGTATAATTTCTATACTGTTGGAAAGTAAATGCCTGCACAGCCTGTGATGCCTCTCATGCTGCGCTCCGCCGTGAGCTCGCGAGTTGTTTGTGTAGCGTGGATAAGACATCCTGTCTCTGGGCAGGTTCACAGGTAGTTGCCAGCAGTGCTGGTCAAAGGAAAAATCTCCATGTCTCACAGGTTTTCTTGTGTTCCAGTAGTACCGTGAACAGGAAGCCATTCGCCTTTGCCTAAAGCATTTTCGGCAGCACAACTACACCGAGGCTTTCGAGTCGCTGCAGAAGAAAACCAAGATTGCTCTGGAGCACCCCATGCTGACAGACCTGCACGACAAACTGGTGTTGAAGGGGGACTTCGATGCTTGTGAAGAGCTGATAGAAAAAGCTGTGAATGGTAAGAGAATCAGAGGAATCTGATCCATGAATTATAAAAAAAGCACAGTGAAATATTACCTTCTTTTGAATGTTAGTGTGCTTAGTAGTAGAGTTGGCAGGTCCATGTGTTGTTTCATTTCTGGTGTGCTGTCAGCTTTTAGACTTGTGAGTGTGTGTGTGTTGAAGGATAAAAATTCATGAAATCTCTTATCACTGCAACTTTTGGAGTCTCTTTCTCCCAGAGATGACTAGGAGGTGCACTTGAGTGGGTAAAGACAAGTTCTTCATGTAAGTGTTGGCAAGCTGAGGGTGGGCTTAAACTGTCAGGAAAGTCACTGGAATGGTGAGCAGAGAAGCAGAAGACTGGAGTTCTCAGTGGTGATCTGGATCATGGTTTCTGGTTGGAGCTCATCACCGAGTTGGTGTTCAGGCAAAAGTTTTCTGCTGTGTTTGGATGAGGAAGCTCTCTTTGCTTTTGGGAAAAATAATCCTTGGGGAATTGTGTGGAAGTCAGTGACTGGAGGCAGAACCTGTTTTCCTTTGCAGAGTGGGACCTTGGCAGGGCAGTCAGTTTCATTGGAACTGCTATTAATTTTTTACTTGGAAGCTTTCTACTTAAAAACACAGTGTATAAACAGCTCTCAACTCCTATGAGGGAGATGTACTCTGTCTTGATCGAATAGGATACAGAAAGAGTGGGACTGTTGCACTGAAGTGACTCTAAGGACCTGTGCAGCAGTTTTGGATTGCAGTCTGATAAAACAGAGGTGCTCTTGGCTGTGGGTGTAGAGCTTTTTGACTCTGTGCAGTCGCTCATTGTGGGAAACTTGTACTGGTGTAAGAGGAAAACTTTGTGTCTGATGCCAGTAGAGTTATGGACTTAGTGAACCAATTTCATGGATAGCTGGCACCAGAGATGTTACTCTCTAGTTCTGGGCTAATCGGTAATTTTGTAATACGTTTGGAAAGATGCCAGTGTACCTGCTTCACTCCCATCAGCATGGTTTGTACCACAGAAGCTAGAAGTGGTTCTCAGAATGTGATGGAAATGATAGCTTGAAAACCAAAGGTTGTCTTCCATGAAAACCCACCATCTTTTTGTGATTAAGCTATTCAGTTGAGCAGTTTTAAGGAGGTTATTACAACAGGTCCTCCAAAACTGCAGTAAATAGTTTTCTATGGGTTTGGCTCAAGGTTTCTCTTCCGACAGAGCAGTGCAGACCTGCCCTGCGCCGAGCTCCAGGAGCAGCTACACAAGCACTGGGACTGAGAATTGCCATGTTCATCGTCATCCTCCCGAGACAGCAGAGTGTTGGCTGGGCTGGGAGCGTGAGCAGCTTCCTGCAATGCAGGGGCATTTTGCAACTGGCAGCTTCCTCCTGAACCATAAGGGCAGGGGAGGATTGCAGGCTGGAAAAGCAGCAGGGAGCTGTTTCTGTCTGTGTCTCAAAGACACGAGTGCCTGGAGGGAGCTGATGAGCCCACCATGACGTTGCAGCAGCCAGAGGAGTGCTGTGTGCTGATGGTGATGATTTTATCATTGCCTCGCTCTGCTGCCTTGGCCATGGCTTAATCTCAGTGCCTGGAGGCTGTCCTCTTTCCACTTCATTGCAGGCTGGAGTGGAAATGATTTCTTGAATGGAATTTCACTCAAAGTCTTAGAATGTACTGAAAAAGTACTCTCAAAAATGGAATTTTTTTCTTGGTCACTAATGAAGTGAATGTTTGTAGCCTCATTTTTTGAGCTGTTATTTCTTAATTTCTTTTACTACTTAATGTATGCTGAGAGTGGGGCTGCTGTCAGCAGTGCTTTGCTTTTCCAGGTGTGGAAGTACTGTCAAAGGACCAGCCTGGTAGGAAACTGTAGGTCTTGTATTGTCCTGTCTGACAGACACTTGTTTCTTGTCAGATTTGATGTGGATAATCCTCCTTCCCTGTTTTTTTTTATTCATGTCCCTTTTTGGAGGCTGAGGAGCTCAGCATCACTTAGGTGAGCTGGAAGAATATGCTGTAGCTTGTTTTATTAGCCTTTTTATTGTTGCAGCAAGTATAAGAAGCAAGTCTTGGTAGTAACAGACGGTGGATAATCTAGCAGGAGAGTCTTAAAGAGCATCATTAGGTTTTGTCACTGCTTCTGAGGGACAGAAAAATATGCATGGGGATGTTTATTTTGCTTCGTTTTAATCCGGCACCTGGCTAGCTGAAGTGAAATGTCAGTGTGCGCATCTCCCATCGCTCTGTTGGTCATCCTTAATGATTTTGCTTGCCTTGGAATACATTAACCTTCCTTCCCCCATCCTCTTGCCATTTTTTATGCTGTCTTCAGCTTTAAATGTACCCATTTAAAGCTCTGTCGCCTCCCAGCACCCTTTGGAGAGAAGTGCTATCTATCCCGAGACACCGAGGCTGCATCCCATATTTGCTTTAAGCTGACAAGACTGCGGGTTTTCACTAACTGGGTCAATCCTGCCCTTGCTCAGGACAGTGTGTCCCTGGCACTGGTGCTCGTGCTGCCACATGGCCAACCCAGACAGGGAGCTGATCAGGCTGGGGTGGGGGAGAGGACAGGACAAACCTCTTCTGATACCCACAAAACCCCCTCAAACTGCAGCTGGAACAATTTGAAGTTGTGGCAGTCAAGGTGCTGAATATTAATGGTGTTTAACAGCTGGATTCTTCTTGGTAGGATGGGAATAGAGGTTTTCAGCCTTCAGCACATTCTCCTGCAGTATTCCTACTACTTGCTCCCTGTGATCTTCCACAGTTACCTGTCCTTACTCTGTTCTGCATTTGTCAAGCTCCCCAGCATTTTCTGAGCAGCCTGATCTGGTGAAAGGTGTCCCTGTCTGTGGCATGGGGGTTAGAACTAGATGATCTTTAAGGTCCCTTCCAACCCAGGCCACTCTGTGATGATTTTTTAATCATTTTACTTTCCTAGCAGCTCTGTTGTGAAGTCTCAGTAGCTTGCTGCTTAGTCTCTAAGGTGTGGGTGTTCTTACCACTGAACTCCTGTCTGATGTGTTGTTTTTCCAAATAAAAGAGGATTAACTTTAGTCCTGTGTCTGTGTAGTGTAGCTGAAGTGTAGAGTTAATTGAGACATACAGATCCTTAAATTATCCCTGAAATCGTTCAAAGAGCAACTGTTCTGTTGCAGACTGGGCATGAATATGTGAACTCCTGACCGCTTGCTGATCTGGGAGTTCATTGCCTTAAAGGCACAAACAGAAGTGCAGTGAGGTTGACAGAGATACTGCACACTCAGTGCAGCCTAAAATGTCTTCTGGAGAGCTTGGTATTTGCAGTGGTGGGTATTGACAAAGTGCAACGCTCTGCATCTCTCGCGGGCTATTTCCATAGGCTTAGTCATGTAGAAAAAGAGTAGGTGGTCAAGAATTAGTGCTGGCAGAGCTAACTCTTGTTCTTTTGCATTGCTAATGATGAACGCTGTCTTCCACCTCACATCACCAGATGATTTCTTTTGAGAGCTCGGTGGCAGGCAGCCACACTTTTCCCACTGATTCTTTTGACTTGTGCGCTACACTTAGAAAATGGGCAAATGGAAACTCTGGCAGCTGCCTGACTTCGTCTCAAAAAGAAAAGGTTCCCTAAATCTCAGCTGGTTCACAGACTTGGTTCAAATGCTTCACATTTGGATCCATTCCTATAGCTTTCGGGCCTATATTATTGAAGGAAAAAATCTGCTTAATATTCCTACAGAGAGTATGTGGAGTGCAAACTGCTTGGTTGAACAGCTCGCAGCTCCTGTAGACGTGGAAAGCTGCTTGGAATGGGTGGAAAAACTGCTTGTTGCCTATTAGTATTCCAGGGACTGAGGTGTTCTTTCTGGCACTGCTCATGTCAGTATGTGACATGTGTTTATCTGGTGACAAGTCAATCCTGTGTGACAAACAAGAAGTTTTGATGCTCAGCCTGCAGGCTCCCAGTGTCTCCCAGAACTCAGGATTCACAGGAACAGGATGCACAGGAGCAATTGTATTCCCCTGGAAGCTCTAGACAGACACGTATACCTGCATTTTACCATCTAATATTGTTTGGATTTGGTTCTGAGAAAGCTGTTATGTATACTGGGATATTTGGAGGGGAGATGCTGGATAGGGATCCAAAGCCTCTGGGAAGTAAATGGTAGAGTTTGTGTAGAAGAAGGATAACTTACATGGATTTGAGAGCAAACCTTGTTTCATTTTTATGAAGAACAAAGTGCAAGAAAATATTACGCCTCTGAGGCTGGAAAAAAAATGGTGTTTCCTTGTTTCTCCCAAATCTTGAGGAAATTGTCGAGTAACAGCTGGATTTTTATCTGCTAGAATATCTCTCTCCTTCAGGTTTTCTACAGAAGGTAGCTTGTGACTCAAAAAGCCTCAAACTGTTAACGTATTCTGGCTACTTTTCTTTGGTTTGAGAAAAATCTTAAAACCTCAAACCCCAGCTCCCAGAAATTATGGGCTAAATGTCACTCTGAAGGTTTTTGAGCCATTGGCAGTGAAGTGAATAGGTTTCAGCAACACTGCCTGGAGATGTGTGTTGTCTAAAAACCCCCAAACTTGATAGAACTTGCTCCTGAGTGACTTCAGAAAGTTAAATATTTTTGTCCGCAATGTTTGTCCTAATCCTTTCTGAGTAACCTGCAATTGGCTGGCAAAATAAAGACTTGGGTTATCAGGGAGGCAGAATTTACCGAGCTTTAATCACAGTGAACTTCGTGTTGTTACATCCAAAATGCGTCATGACATGCTGCAAAGGGCTTGAAAATAGTACAAGTCGTTTTTTTGGCTGTAATTTTAGTAAACGTGGACATTGAAGTGAGAGGTCTCCGGAGCAAAAGAAAACACTTCATTTAAAAACTTCCACCTGACACTTTTTTTTTTTTTTTTATTTTTGACAAGAGTCTCGAAATTTATTTTAAACTCCTGATTCATTGGGAACAGCTGACAGACCTGAGCAGGCCTAGATCTGATCCTCAGTGCCTCACAGGAGCTTTGGAGACCTTTTGGTCAGCAGTGCTCTCCTGACAAGGAACATAAGGAGTGCGCTGGCGTAGGTCTGGCGTCGGGTACAGAATCCACCTAGAAATCCTCCTTTTTTTTCCCTGGTGGTGTCAGACAGGTGGTGATTCAGCTTCCAAAACAAGCTGCTGCTGGTTTGCAATGCAAGTAGAGTGAATGTGGAACTGCTTCCAGCAGAAGGAAACATTTCTGGGAAGCAAGCTGGAATATTTCCAAACCGATGTCCCATGGAAGACAAGAAGCATTATTAAAAGAGGCTGAAGGCACAGTAGGGGAGAAGTGTCATATCTTGACAAGTGCAGCCTGTGGGTGTAGAGCATGGGAGAGAGGTTAAATCACCCTTTCAGATCCTATGTACTGTAATTCATCCTTTTGAGCTATTTATGTCCAATTATCTATTGGCTGCCATCGGGATAAATACAGTTTTGGTTTCTGTCTTGCAGACCCAAGCCTGTAACGATAACCAAAAAGCTGCATTTCTGTCTGGGTTTGTGGCTGAGTCACTGTGGGATTTCTTACAGCACATGCATTTGTTCTATTAGGCCTGGCTTTTCTGAATCAGAATTTATGAGATCTCAAGCTTCGAGCCTCTCATGTGTTGTCCCAACTTCATAAATGCTGAAGAAGTGGGAGTTAAGAACCCTGCTATTAAACCCAAAATAAACCACTTTTCTTTCTACATACATTGAGCAAACTTCTGGCTTTCCTCGATTACCTAATGTGGGGGGAGAGCTGCTGGTTTTGGCGCGGAGGTGAAAGTAAAATCTGCCCTGTTTTCAGAGTATTTATTTGGAAAAACTTGCACAGCTGAGTTTATAAAAGTTTTATATTTTCAGACCAAACTCATCACCTTTCAGGAGCTCTTGAGTGCCCTTGTTTTCCTGTTAGATGGTCTCTAAATAGAGCATTCATCTTCTCCAAGGAAATACTTGCTGCTGGCTTGGGTTTTAATTAAAACCTGGATTTCAGTCACGACAAACTACAGGATGCCAGGAAACACTTTAAAATTTTCTCTGAATCTTTTGTCATGCTTAACAAAGATTTTTACCTTTTATTAAATAAATAGGGATGTGTTCAGCGAGGATCATTCTTTCTTGCCTATATATCTACAAAGGGCTTTTGTATAAATAAGCAGAGGCGTTGATCATCTATTAAATTCCTATTGTTTTTTTTCCAGGTAATGCAATAATACATGAATACAGCAGAAACATTAGTCAGGAAGAGATTGTGTGTTGAGATGGTGGGTGATGGGTGAGTTGTAGCCAGGCAAGCAGTGCTCAGGTGCTCTCATAGTTTGCTGTGCTACAGAAGGTGAGGCAGGTGTTTCAGAGGAGACATTTGGAGAACAACAGCACCGAGTTCCCCACATGCCAAGCCCTTCCCAGAGTGGAGGGCAGTCCTAGGGAGTGTGGGTGTTACAAGTCTCTTTTACAGAAAATTAGTGTTTATGTGATAGGCTGATAGCATCTGAACAGAATTAGGAACTGGCCTCTGGGTGCTGATGAGGTGGAGGGCACAAGGGGAGTGCTGATAAAGTGCTGGAGCTGGTGCTGCTCACAGAAATGCTGCACTTAGCACATCTGGCCTGGGATCTAACACCTCCTCTATTGCTCTTCTTGCTTAACTCTCTGAAGAGAATGTAAACTATTGTTTTGTTTTTCATCCAGGGCTTGGTTGTCCCATATCACAGCATTTAGACAATCTGCTCTGCTTCCCTTCTCTTCTCAGATGAAGCTCTAGAGATGCTGTCTGACCTAGTTTTAACTTAATGTGCACTAAAATGGCTGAATTTTATATGCACTGGCAACTTTCCTTTTGCTTAAATAAGGGGGAGGAATTCTATTCTTAATTAAATTCACCACACTGGAGATTTATAGACACTTGGCACGACCTGGCAGGCAAACTGGATAATTCCTGATTGATCTAGTAGCAAGTATTCTTTTTATTTTAGTTCTTGCACATTTAGTTCATTAACAAACTAACAAAAGTTTAACCAACTAACAAAAGTTTAGCAAACTAACTGACACATAATGGAGAGCTCACTGAAAGTGGAGGCTTTGGATTGGCATACTGGATTGAGTTAGGCTGAAGTTATCCACATTAAAAGTGATTTTGCTGTAATGGAAGGATAAATGTTTTATCCAGCATAATTTTTGTTTTGCAGATGGCTTGTTCAATCAGTATATCAGTCAGCAGGAGTACAAACCTCGCTGGGGGCAGATTATCCCCAAAAGCACCAAAGGTAAGGACATTTCTTAAGATACAGCTCATGTGCTGCCAGTTCTGTCTTGTTCCTTTGAGAATGTGGAGCAAGAAAATGATGCAAGAAAGTCTCCTCTAGGAGAGTTCTAGGGAATGGTTTCTTCTCCGAAAAAGTTGCATTTGTCTGCAAATTCAGTGAAATTCAGCCTGCTCTCTGGTTGAGTAAGGAACACTGCAGGAATACAAGTGGTAACTTTAAGCATAGATCATCAGTTTAGTAACAAATCCCAGAATATTTGTTAAACATCAGAACAGTTAGCTGTGTTAGCTGGATTTAGCACAAGGAGTTGATGTAGCTTCAACTTCAAGTGGAGAGGTGGCAAATAAATACATTATCTTAACAGGGAGTATTTTAAATGAGGTGGATCTTTTGAAGTCTTGATCTCTTACACAGTATATCCAAACTGCAGAATATTTTCCATTCCTGTCTGCCTTGAGAGGAGACTTGTAGCTGCATCCTTAACTGCAGAGTACAAAAATCACTGTCACAGAGCAAATGTAGGCTCCAAGGTGACAATTGCCAAATGTGGAGCAGAGTCCCCAAGCCCCTTGGGAGAGGTTATCTGTGTCACCTGTCCTGAATGCCTAAGATATATAAAGTAGTTGGAAAGCTGCTTTAATTGGGCAGGTGGAATTCCCTTAGATGTGAGAATAGCTGGTACAAAGCCGGCTGTGCTATGTCTAGATCACCTCCTGCTGCCATCCCAGGGGTTCATTTCCCTGTCATTTGAGTATCTGTTCCCACAGCTCAGCCCTCAGGCAGCTCTCAGGTGGGGAGAGATGGAAGGGGAGCCAAAGGGTGACTGTGTTGTCCCTGCTGGAGAGCTGCAAGGACAACTCAGAGCTCTTCTGTGTGCCCCAAGTGCGTCAGGAACGTTGAAGCTCCTTTCCAAGGCACTGAGAGTTGCACTATTCACTTCTCTCTGTACTGTCAGTCACCAGATAATTCAGTATAAAACTTTGTACAGTTTTTATAATGCACAAAACTAATATTACCTGGAAAAAGTGATGTGCTAGTATTTAAAGAAGGGTGAGTTATTCAATTCCTCTGCTTCCATGTTGAGGCTGTATCTTTCTTTGGTTTAAAAATTTTATAACGGAAAACTCCCTTCCCTTTTTTTCTCAAGGTGACGGGGAAGACAGTCGGCCAGGCATGAGAGGTGGCCATCAGATGGTTATAGATGTGCAGACAGGTGAGTAATTATTACATTTCTTAACTAAATTATTTAATCAGTTGTTTTCCAGATAAATATGCAAATGTGTTTTTCTTCAGACATTGTGTTAGGTTTTGAGGAAAAAAAAAATTCATGCTTTCTTGTAGTTGGATTAAATGCTCTGTTTCCTCTCTGGATCTATATTCCAGCTGCCTTTCCCTTTCTTCCCTAATAATTCTGTGTTATGCCTTAGCCACTGTCTTGTCTTAACTAAGAAACCAAGAACAATTGATTTTAATTTTTTGTTCCTCCTACCATCTTGGAGCAGGAATTCAAACAAGAGAAGAGAAATTAGGGATAATTTCCCTTATCTGCTACAGGCTGTGCTCAAGCAATAGATCTGATGTGTTGAAACATTCCTTGTATTTTGGTTGGAGTGGCTTCTAATTCCCACAGTGTGCAAGAAACTCCTGTTAGATATAATTCTTTCGACATTTCTTGCAAAACTGTTTCCTTAAGGAGTTTAATGAATGGCTCAGCCTCTGTTCAGAGAACCTGCAGAGAAAAGAAAATGGGGCGGTGTATCAGGAGCAGTTCCAGTGATTGTTGTTCTGCATAATTTTCTATATCTTCGTCTGTTATTTAATCAGATTTCTGTGCTACGTCAGTCGTTACTAAAATAAGGAAAGCATCTGCCCAAGTCTTTGCTGTATGAAGGAAAGGATTTTTCTTGGGAAGGGAGAAACAAGATCAGGGTGTGGGTATTGGATAGGAATATAGAGTGGCATTGAAGGAGTTGGCAAAAAAAATGCCCATGGCCATATCTGTTGTGGTCACAGGACGGGGACAGAGCATGTGACAGGATAGGACCTTCCAGAGTAATTTGCTAAGTCATAGTGAACAAGCAAAAATCCAGCAGTAGCTGCAGCCTCTGGCTTTTGCTCAGAGTAGTTACTGCTCTGGAGGAAGCACTTGAGCTATTTGGTGTAGGAGAGTAAACTTCTTTCATTTGGTGGGAGAGGTTTGAGATTGATTAGAACAAAAAGCTGCTGGAGGATTTTCTGTGTTTGTGCAGAGGGTGGGAACGCTCCCTAGTGGCCTCGGGAATTAGTGAGTGTTTCACAAGAGCGTAGAAGAAACATGATCCGTGTCAACTTGGAAATGATAGTCCTGCACACCTCCTGAAAATAAAATATCCATGATAGTGTGAGCCTTCCTTTCCATTCCTCTTGCTTTTCCAGCAACAGTAGGGTTGTCAGCTCTGCTTTTGACCGCAGTTTTTGCTTTAACAAGGCAGTGAAACTCATCCATGTATTTTTTAATATTTTGTGATAGATTTTGTATATATTATATGTACTTTGGATATATGTGTGTATTTAATATATATTAATATTTATTTTATTTATGGATATGTATATAGCATGTATATTATAAATTTATCAAATATCTATAATTTATTTTAGTACGTATAATATATACATTTTATTTTATTTGTTTTACTTGCACAAAAGTGGCTGGACAATACCCACCAAGGTGGAGTCCTGGATCTCTTTCCCTTTGTCATGGTGGGCATTTCTTTCTGTAGCTCTATTTAGAGGTGGTGGGATACCTTCCCAAAGTTTCCCTGTGGGCTGTTTGGGAAGTTGCTTTCAGTTTTGCATCCGGGTCCACTGAGACTTGTAATAGCTGAAATGTTTTTGAGATGATCAGTTTTGCCATTTAATTTGGCTCATGACAGGGCAGGGGAAGTTCTTGGGGCTGTTTGCCATTGCTGATTGCTGGAGTTTTCCTTTTGAATATAGGTGGAGTTTAATGAGCTGGTGGGAATTTAGCCAGTTATGTCAGGATGCATTTTACAGACTGGGGCTGGAAAGCTCCCTGGCTAACCTTGGACAGATCCAGTGTTAATGGAAAAGGGAGCAGTGGTGTTCTCTTCCCTTCAAAGACATCCTCTCCTGCCTTACTCACACACCTGCTGAGTGGGTTTTTTTAAGAAGACTTTAGCAACTGAAGAAAAATCGTCTCAGTTTGCACTCCTTGTTAGAGGAGTGAGGTCCTTCTCAAAAATCAGTATTTTCTTCAACTTAAATCTTTTGGAAGTGAAGTGAAACAAACAGCAAAATCATACTTACAAGGAGATTCTCAAGTTTTATATCACGTAGATTTAAGTGTTTGAAGCAGATTTTAATCTCTGATGGCCAGACCTGTTGTAGCTATATATGAACTATAAATGGTTTGGCATTTTGACTAACTTCAAGGAGATTTTAACCACTTCTTACTGACTAGGAAAATAATTCTAACTTAATAGTACTGAGCCTGCTGGATGCACATGCTGGTGTTAAGTTAGAGGATATGGATTGGTGAGTAGCTGAACTAGATCTTAAGTTGCTGCTAATGCACTGAGACTGTTTTTATCAGTTTTGGGTAGAGCATGGATTAACTTGGTCTCAGCTGCCTTTTAGCATGGCTTAACTTTCACTTAGAGTAGGCTGAAAGAAACTGAAAGAGAATTTAGCATCTCTGCTGGCAGCCAGTAACTTGTGCTGGAGCTCATTTCCATCTGACACTCCTGTTTTTAATACCTGCCACAGCTGACTGAGTAAGTGCAGTGTTCCTGATGCTTTGGGAAGCTCTTGAAGCACTTTGAAATGGAGCTGTAGGCATTGTGGGATGTAGAACTGAGAATGCAGCCTGATGTCTTCCCATATATAAGAAAAAAGAGAAATTAAAAATGGGAAGTTAGTGATTTCCACAATATCCTCCATAATTTTAATCACATTAACACTCAGACTGGAATGACTCTGAATGGCAGAATTAGGAAGTTGAATTTGATATATATGTGCAGAAACATAAACTAAGAGAAATTCACAGTTATAGCTGAAACCACTGTTAGGTACTTTAAAGCTTTAGGCTGGAAATGAAAACAGAAAGCTCCTGTTATTCCTGCTTTTCCCTGCAAGGTGGGTTTCTCATGCAGCTCTCCGTGTGGGAGGCTGGAGAATTCTCTGCTTTTCTACAAGGCAGAGGAAGTATTTTAGTAGTTGCAACCCAGGTACATAGATTAAAACAAAATTATCCCCCAACCAACCTCAAAACTACACAAGTACACAGTGTTGTGTGCTGCATGTCAGACATGAGAAGCTGTTTGTGTAGGTCCTGGGGAAATACTGGGGCAGTAACACCCAGGCTCGAGTGCAGAACAGTGTTCCCACAGAATTGAACCCTAATGCAGTTTTGGATGAGGATGTCAGCATTTGGCACTGGTTCCTTATTAACAGCTCTTTGAGTCTACTCTTCCTGGGCTCTTTATGGGTCAGATATGCCACATGTTTCAAAATTCCAGTGCTTATTCTGGAAGAAAGAGGGAATGGGTAAGTGAATTGCCAAGAGCAAGTTTTAAGGAGTAATATAAGTACTTAGAACAGTATGTGTGTTGTGTTTGGAGATGTGGTTTATAATTCCATAGGCAAGGTGGAATTGATCTCTTCTGCTCTTACAGGGCAGACACAGTGAATGACAGTGCAGTCCATAAAGCCTTGTAATAGTTTTGGTAACAATAGAAATATGGACCATGTAGAAATCATTCTATTAAAAAAAAAAAGATATTTGGTGTTATATCAGGCTTTCTTAAATGTTGAAGTTTTCCCTTGAGCCTGCTTTAGAAATAACAGCAAAGCAACCAGGATGATTTTTCTTCTGTCTCCATTTCTCTTCTCTTTGGCAAGTGAAACAGTTTTTTGAGGGAAACCATTAGTGAAATAGTCTTTATTGATGTGGTACCTCTGTTCTCTCACTGAAGTGCAACTGTTGTGTAATTTTGGTTGTACATCATTTTGCTTTTCCTTTCGTCCGAAGGAATTCTGTTTGCTTCCTTCCATTAGATAAATGAGGACAGATCTGTTGGTTGGGAACAGAGGGAGATTCAGAGCACTGGGCCCAGCGTGCCCATTGTATACGTGGGCAGCACAGCAGAAATGACAAGGCTGGTTCAAAAGCAGCATGGAAAGATGAAAAAGATGAAGAGAGAGCAGCAGACATGAAGGATTCTGTTTTGCCTGAGGAAAACACTGCTATCCATAAGATATTTAAAGACAAGACTTGTGTACAGGATGAAGGGATCTCAGAAACAAAACACAGATGGCTTCTAAGCTCTGAAACACAAACAGCTGCTGAATCCTGGAGGTTACTCAACTTCATGGGGCTTTCACATTTGAGACTTTATGTCTATCCTTAAAAAAACCCCTGTATTCATCCAGCTTCTATCCCGCTGAACTGTGGCTCAGAAACCAAGGGGTATGATACCTCAAGAAGATTAAGAGCTGGTTTTATATTTGTGCTCTTAAATGCTCCTCTCAAAGTGGGCAGCACTGCTGGCATGTAACTAAAGGTGTGGGTGCTACTTGGGGAAGTGACATCCTTTTGTAGAAGGCTTTTGAGATGTCTTACACCTTGATTGTTTTTTTTATTTCTGAGAGGAATCCTTCAGAGCTTTAGGGACAGTAGTGCTCCAGTACAGCCCCAGCAAGTGTGTGATGGCAGCTGATTGGGAGGGCTGTGGCTGATGAACTGGGGAACAGGACCATGAGTCCAGGGGACCCTGAGGGGCTGCAGGAGAGCATTGTGAGGTTCTGATCCTGCCCCTGGGATGTGACAGCTGTGCAGGAGGACAGGCTGGAAACTGACTGCATGGAAGGATTTGCCTGGTGCTGGAAGCGGAATGTGCATTGACAATGTGTCCTTGTGGCATTGAAGGCCACTCTCTCCTGCTGGGCTGTGCCAGGGCCAGCAGGGAGAGGGCAGGGTGACGTTCCTCTTTTGGGTACTTGGGGACACATCTGGAGTGCTGTGCCTGATTTGGGCTCTCTGGGACAGTAAGGATTGTGTCAAACTGAACTGACCAAGTGGTCAGGGCTGGAGCGTGTGGTGTGTGAGGAGATGCTCAGGGAGCTGGTTTTGTTCATCTGGTAGAAAGAAGGTTCACGGGAGGATCTTAGAGCTGTCTTCAGCTACTGGTGAGAATATGGAGAAAGCCAGGCTCATTTTTGGGGCAGCAGAGGGGTAGGATAAAGGACAGGAAGTGAAAATCCTATTAGATATTAGGGGGAAAAAATTGTAATGAAGTTAATCAGTCATTGCAGCAGGAATCCAGTCTGAAATGTCCATCCTCTGAGATACTCAAAGTATAACTGAATAATTCCCTGGGCAGCACGGTCTCTGCTGAAGTTAGCCCTCCTGTGAGAGATTTGGGGGATGACTGATGGACCTTGCAGAAGTGCTGTAGATCCACAGTTCTTTTATATTCCATGGAGAACTGTTCTAGTAGAAACATGGAAATAAATACAACTTGACCAAAGAATGTAGTTAAATATGTCACCAAGACTGGAATGTATTCACTGAGGAAGACCTCTTGTACCAGAATCCCACCAAAAATTTCATAATGTGGAGAAAATTGAGTTAACAGGAATTAGAGAACTGTCTTTGAGAATGTGTGTGAACCTGGACTGAAACCACTCCAGGAATTTCGATATTTAATGTGTTGGAGAGGGCTGCTTTGCTGCTTTTCTGAGACATAGAAATTAAGGAGAGGTTGACAGGAAATATATTGATTGTTGGGAATGTACATCCTCTAATTTGACAACTTCTCTGGCACCTTAATCATCTAGAGAGTAAAGGAAGAAAAGAACTCAGACATTACAGAAAAATTTTTGACTGAGCAAGCAGTTTAGAAATACTCACAGAACATATTTAATTCAGAGTGTTGAATTTGTATTCAGAAATAAATGTAGAGGAAATAAGCTGAGGATGCTGGAGGAGAAATTTGACTTCCTAAACGTATCTGGTAAAAGCTTTGGGTAAATATAATTGCTTTCATGTTTTTTCTTGTTGCCTTGCAGCTAGGTTTGAAAATTCTCCTGCTCTGCCCCTAAAGCTGAATAGAGACTTGCTTTAATAAAGCAGCATCAATTTTGCTGTGTTCCATATTGCTTGGATGCAGAGGGAGGATCCTTTCCTTCTTGAGTTCCCCAGTGCTACCAGAGTTATATTGGTGTGGGACTGCTGGGCTCCCCTTGAGCTGCCCCACTGCTGCTGCCTGGGATTTGTGGCCTCTGTCCTCTTCTTTCAATGTTGGCCTTGCACATCTGTCCTGGTTGGGTCTCTGCATGCAGGGTGAAAAAACCTCCCTCACATAAAATGTGAATTAACAGCTAGAATACAAGCAATGGTGCTGGTTGGGAAATGGAGTGAAGTCTGACTTAAAAAAAAACCTAAAATCCTCAAAAAACTCAAACCCAGCCAAACAAAAACAGTCAAACCCAACCCCAACCAAACAAGAACAATCCCACAAACCACCAAACAACTATTTTTTTGCTTTATACCATGGGAAAACAATTGCAAATTTTAGGAGAACTATAAAAAATTATTTACTTGACATTACCAGCAACAGATGCATTTATACATTAAGAAATACTGCTTTTAAAACATGGAACCTTCCTCTAAAGTATGCATATACTTCTGCAATAAGGCATGGAACTAAAAAATTATTTTCATTGGTTCTAGATAGTGATGGAGCCCTTCTTTCATGTGAGCTACAGTTTTACTTCATGATGAAAAATGGGTCTGGCACTGAGTTCATGTCCACTTGTGTTCAGGGTGTTGCTCTGGGGATGCTCAGCATCAGCTGGGTGCTTGTGCTCCTCTCTCAGTGCTCACATTTAATTCTGTCCGCCTGGGTTAGGTAACTTCCAAAATCTGAGTTTTCATCGGAGTCATTCAGGTTTGCTATTAAATTTCATGTGAGCCAACAAAGCCTTTCCAGGCAGGCCTGACATTTTGGCAAGGCCCCAGTAGGATTTTTAGCTGGTGCCAAATCTTTTATTTTTCTCGGCTATCAATGAAGCTGTTGTGGTAATGTGGGTTTTGTGAGCTGTGAGAATTTATGCGCACAAAGGGACCTGCTCTTTGCAGGGAACACAGGGAGCCCTGAGTCCAGGAGGAAGGGTAATTAAAGTTAATGAACCAGGGTAACCTTTCCATGGTGATGACCACTATCCTGATGGTAGGTAAGGGTCAGGGACTAGTCCCATTTTATAATCGCGCACTAACTCCACGCTTTAATTGGTGTTGGATTAAAAATTGGCCATTACCTCCATAATAGAAGTAGTTTGTGGATTTTAAAGGAGTTTTTCAAAGCTCTGCAAGTCTTGAGGAACTTGTTCTTCTTGGACTTGGCTTTGTGTTATGTTTTAATGCACTCTAAAAATGAAGTATTTTTAGAATTTGAGACCAGATAGTGCTGTTTCTATAATGGGAGCAGTTTAGTTATCTCCCCATGGCAGAACAGAAACTCCTTTCTTAAATACTTCCCCTCTTCAAAGGCTTCATCTGGTTTTATCAGAGAGTCTAGGAAGTCTTAGAACTTGCTGTACACAGAGCAGTTGTGGGTTTGAGGTGACAGCCCTGAAACACTGACTTAAATTTGTGACTCTTCTACTCACTGGCTTTTGTGGCATTGGGTAAGTTACTTTATGCAAGACATTTCCCTTGAAGTGGATTTTTTAGTTGATTTTTCTAAGGGATGGACTAGACAGAAAAACTTTGCTGCTCCTATCTCTGAAACCTCATTGATACATAAATCCTGCACCAAACAGGGCACAGGCTGAGATGTCATTGATAGACTACATGCACAGGATCCAAAATGTTAAATATTGTTCATTTGTCTGTCTGGAATTTTAATCAGAAGGCTGTGGGTTTGATTGCCTCTTATGTAAATGTAGAAATAGAAAATGACTCTGAGAATTGGCTGCCTATCAATCCTAAAATCTTCCATTACTAAACCAAACCACATTTTTGTCTTGATGACTAGTTCCATTCAAAAAGGAGTGGTGTTTTAAGTAAAAAAAGAGTTTAAATTTCTCTTCTGATAGTTTGTCACAGATGTTTTGTAGGCATTAGCCTGTTTAAACACATTCTCTGTTTAAAATAAAATTAACTTTTTTTTTCAAATAGAAACTGTTTATTTGTTTGGTGGCTGGGATGGAACTCAGGATCTGGCTGACTTCTGGGCATACAGTGTGAAGGAAAACCAGTGGACCTGTATATCCAGGGATACCGAGAAAGAGGTAAGTTCTGCAAACATCCATATTTTTAAAAATACATCAATGGTTGCCCTCAAAAATGCCCCTACTAAAGTACTTGTGTTGAAGTGCAGTATAAGGTGAGAGCCACAAAGTTCAGACCTTCAAGTTCTGAGGACTTTTGAAATGCTTACATGGGGAAAATATGAGCTGGAGGTGGCTTTGAAGTGTTAAGATTCCTGGAGGGGAAAGGTTTATTTCTCAAAAGCAGGAATGATCAGCCAAAAAATCAGCTCAGCAAGTAGAGCATGAGTTAAATAATTTTGTGTGGCTGAACAACCAGATTTATCACGGAATGTTTTGGGTTGGAAGGGACCTTAAAGATCATCCAGTTCCAGTCCTGCTGCCATGGACAGGGACATCTCCCACTGGAAGGTTCCAAGGACTTGCTAATGAACATTTCAGGCCTGATCCTGGTGTTTGAGCTTCAGAAACAAATTGTTTATTTTTTTAGCTTCTGTCAAAAGTGAATAGAAATGGACAGCTACCAGATGGAAATCTAGAGGACAGGGGTTACTGCCAAAGGCTACACAACCCTGAGAGCTTTCGTGGAATTCACTTGAACCATTTTCCTTGGCCTGTTTTGCTCAGTATTTGACGTATGAAACCTGAAATGAATGTAGCTTGGGTTATAGGACAAGACAGAAAAAGTCCAAGGCCTTTGGCTTGTGTAAATCATTTCACTGTACACCGAAATCCTCAAGTTCTGTGTGGTTATTGTGTTTTGAGTTCATTACTTATTTGTCAGAAGAAAATTCATGCCACCTATTCTTGGAGGTATGAAAAGTTTGAGATCCCACCACTTTTTGACAAACTCAGGCATTGATTTCCTCAGCTATTTGAAAACAGTATAAAAATATCTCATTTCTCATTTGTATTTCTCAGTTTCTTGTCATGGCTAATTTTGTGAGCTTCCTTACCAGATTAAATAACACTTCAATATTCTCATTTTTTTCATGGCAAATGGTTTTTAGAGGTTGTAATCAAGTAGGACAAATAGCCTGAGCTTAAAAAAAAAAAAGAATAAAATCTCACAGGCATTTCCTGTAGCCCTCAAATCTCTGTGTCGTGTACTTGCTGATTGGAACATCCTTTACAAAATGGGCAATAACAAAACTGAACGTGATATTCTGGTTTCTGTCATAACAGAGCTGTGGGGAGGTGAAATTGTTATATTTATGTACTGTTCAGTCAAAAAGGGGCTGCTGTGTTTTCTTCCTGCACAAACCAATGTCTGGTGTTTAAGGGATTCATTTCCTTCTTGCTGGGGTCATGCCACATCCAATAGAGTTTCTCTAAAGCTTAGGAAACCTGGCTGGGATGTTTCCTCTCCAGGTTCCTCATGTCTGACTCCAGCAGGGTAAGACTGGGCTGGGAGGAAGGGCAGATGCACAAAAGGAGAGCTGTGGATGAGACACAGTAGAAGAGTTGTGAGTTGATGGGATTAAATGATTATAAAGGGATTTTGGAGAGAAAAAAGTTAGCAGTTGGTGTTATGGAAGCTCAGGAAATTAAGATGGGAAGGGTCTAGCTGGGACAGGAGAAATGAATTTTTAAAAAGTAGAGACATGTTGAATGTATGAGGAGTTTTGAAGAAGGGATGTGCTTAATTAGAGAAAAGTGTGGAGGAACGTGGGTGGCTTGTGAAAGGGAATTATGAAAGGACTCTCCATGACCAACTTGTGAGGTGGGGCCCCTGTGAGCCTCGTGGACTTCAGTAAGGTCAAGTGACAGGTCCTGCACATGGATTGGGACAATTGCAAGAATAGATAGAGGCCAAGCAGAGAATGGATCCAAGAGCAGCCCTGAGGAGGACTTGAGGTGTTGGTGCATGAGAAACTCCCATGATGTGGGCTTGAGCACTTCTGCTCTGGAGCCAGGCTGGGGCTGTTCACCTGGAGAAGGTTCCAGGGAGACCTCAGAGCCCCTTCAAGGGCCCAAAATAGCTGCTGGAGAGCTGGAGAGAGACTTGGGACAAAATCATGGTGTACCAGGAAAGGGGGAATTGCTTCTCAGTGCCAGAGGGGAAAGTTAGATGGGATAATGGGAAGGAATTCCTGGCTGGGAGGTGCTTCTCAGTGCCAGAGGGGAAAGTTAGATGGGATAATGGGAAGGAATTCCTGGCTGGGAGGGTGGTGAGGCCCTGGCACAGGTTACCCAGAGAAGCTGTGACTGCCCCTGGATCCCTGGAAGTGTCCAAGGCCATGTTGGACAGGGCTTGGGAGCACCCTGGGCTAGTGGGAAGTGTCCCTGCCCATGGTAGGGCTGGCACTGGACGGTCTTTAAGGTCCCTTCCAACCCAAACCATTCTGTGATTCTCTGATACGTTTACAGTGTTCAGGAGGCCTCCTGAAGTATAGTTCAGGGTTTTGATGACTTTCAGAGGTACAGTGAGCTGGCAGCTGCAGTACTTGGAAACCAGCAGTGGGTTGTGGTTTGTTTTTTTTTTTTCCAAAAAGATCTGGATGAAACCTGATTTAGAAATGGAAAGGTCAATCTCAAATGTTGAGAAGTAAATTCAAAAACAAAGACTCCAGATGTTTCTCTAATAGGGACATCAACTGCTCACAAACAATTTGCAAAAAGGAAATGTCTGTTGACATGGAATTTTAAAAAATATTCAGAGTAGATTCCAGTAGAGCTTAATCTTGTTTTGTTGTATTGTGCTAGTTCTGCTTCTGGCTTTTTTATTCTAATTAATTGGTGACAGTGGTTAAATTAGCCACTCAATAATTAAACTTGGATAAGAACGAAATATGGTGAAAGTTGCATCCTGTCCAGTGTTACTGTAGGGATAGTGCACAGTAATGCTTTTGGGATAAGGGTACTGGGAGCTTCTGCTGCAGTGCATTAGGAAAACGTGTGATCTTTTTAGAAAATGTTTTTGCTGCTGTTTTTCAAAGTTTTCCAGTGAGGTGTCTCTTTGTCACCTGAAGTTGCATTTGTGTTTTTTAACAATTAGACCACTAAAGCTGATTTTCTGTAGCTCTTTTGCATAGAATCATTGAATAGTTAAGTTGGAAAAGCCCTCTAAGATCAACTCCAGCCAAGGCCACCACTAAACCACGTCCCCAGGTCTCACATCCATGTGGCTTTTAAATCCCTCTAGGGACAGGGACTTCACCAGTGCCTTGGGCAGCCTGTTCCAGGGATGGACAACCCTTTCAGTGAAGAAATTTTTCCAAATATCCAAACTCAACCTCCTCTGGTGTAACTTGAGGCCATTTCCTCTCCTCCTGTCCCTGTTCCGTGGGACAGAGCCCGACGCCCCATGGCTGTCCACTCCTGTCAGGGAGTTGTGCAGAGCCACAAGGTCCCCCCTGAACCTCCTTTTCTTCAGGCTGAGCCTGTTCCCCAGCTCCTTCAGCTCCTCCTGGGGCTCCAGCCCCTTCCCACACAGCTCTTCCCTGGATACGCTCCAGGTCCTTATGTCTGTCTTGTCCATCTGGACAAAATGCTCAGGGCACTGCTGGGGTAGCTGATCACTTACAGCATGAAAAACAGGGTCTGGAGCACACCACCACTGCTGATGGACAAACAGACCCCACCATCCCTTCACTGTATGGATCCAGCTAGACTCCTGCTGTGCTTGTCAAATCCTCTTCCTCAAGCCTGAATCCTTCCAGGGAGGTGCTCCATGGAGCAGCTCTGGACCCCTCAGCTTACCCACAGCTTCTGTCTCTGGAGTGTGTGTGACAGCCCTGTGAATCAGCTGGCACAAGGCACAGCCAAAATATGTTCCATTTAAGAGCCTTTAAGGGTTTCTACCCTGAGTCAAGTGGAGTGTTCTGATAAATGCCATTGTCTTCAGGGATTTTTGGAGTGTGTAGATCAGCAGACCTCTTCAGGATTAGAGAATAAATAATTTAAAAAAACTAAACCTTGTTATTCCTTGTACAATTTTATTCTAGGCCAGTGTCAGTTAATAGAGCAATTTAATGTGTGTGTTTTGATGTCTATTTCTAGTTTCCAAGCAGCACCTTTCTCTTTGGAAGGATAATTTAGTGAAATTCAGTGCAGGAGGACAGTTTTAAGTGTAGGAAAGACTTTTTCTGGTGTAAATTGATAGTCAGGGGATTTTGAAATAGGATCAAAATGCTGAGGGATGTTGATGCCTCTGGAGATCAGATAAATGAGAGTAAAGCAGTGTTATAGTTGGCATATTCTGTGTGTCTCTGGTATTCCTGTACCTTGTTCTAGCATTTCCTAGAGACAAGAGATGGGGGGAATCTCCCTTCAAACAATGTCATTGCACTGATTGGTACCTTCTGTGAGATGCTTCTTGGAAAATACATTGACTCATCCTCATTCTAGCTTCTTCAGAGGAAAACCCTGCTCACAAATCAGCTGTGTGAAGGATGTGGAAATTGTGTAAATGGGTTAGGTTTAGGTGACACTGTGTTTCTCTAAAAAATTGTTGAAGTGTTTCCTTACCAAAGGTAGAAGTGAGGGTCTTGTCATGGTTTAACTGCTTGAGAGGCTAAATCTTTGCTCACAATGAAGACAAGTGTAGGTCAACAAGTGCCTCCTGTTCAGTAGGTTCAAAATGATGTAGAAAATGGGTATATTGTGAGGTGACAGTTTGCTGTGAGCACCAACTGCTTTTCCAGGATGCTGAAAGTAAAAGCTGACAAGTGTAGAAAGATCCCCTAATGGTGAGAGCCAGGGGGAATTTCAGCTGCTATTGTATTTCCAGTTAAATTTTCTCCAGTCTCTGCATGCATTGCTTTGCATTTGTTGATGTGGATGAATTTACCCAAAGCTTTCAGTGTCATATTACCACAGAAGCATTTTTTGTAGGAGTTTTTGACACCTCTGACTGTTTTTTTGGGTATGATGGAGCAGTACATGAGCTTAGCAATGTAAAGCTTTTACCCTATGCTGTTTGAAGTGCAGGAATTGAACTAGTCTCAAATATTGACTTCTTCCCACAGATGGTGATACAGTTTGGAAGACACTTCAAGTGACTTGAGGGGCTTTTTGTT